ATTCGCGTGGCCATACAATGTGTGGTGAGATGTGCACATCAACCGGTGCAGATGATTTGCAGTATCGTACATCATTGCTTGGTTGTCCTTCCGGAGGATAACTGTGTTTTTGTTTTGGTGTGGTTGTTTGTCACACTTGCCGACGGCAAATGGTTGTTTCCCTTGTGTCCCTTTGTCCCTTGTTGCATGTTTCTTTGAACAGGAATTCTGGTGTGGTTCTTGGAAGCAGCTTCGTATGGCAGCAGGTGCAGCTTTTTGCCATGAAGGGCAGGCTGCGTTGGGTCCAAATCAAGGCCCCCGACACGAAGATTTTGCACTCAAAGGGTTGGGTTACAGGCAATTCTACAGAAAAGCAGCTTTTTACAGCCATTTCCTGTAGATTTTCCTGTAACCAAACCTTTTGGGGGTTGGCGGGAATGGCCACAGTTGCGCGAGCCTGCAGATTGTCAGGTACCCCTTGGTTTGGATTTGGGATTTGAAGCCCTGGCTTTTGTAGATGGTGCATGGGAAACCCCACCACCAAAGCACCGGACACCAATCCAAACCACCAAGCGGCAAGCTGAGATTCTCTGCATGGCATGCGCCGCTTGCAGTATGTGAATGTCAGACTGAGGATCCGGAACTTTTCCATCATCGCCCACATCGATCATGGCGCGCCCGGGGCGGGCTGCTGTTTCTTGTTGCGTTAGAAGTGGACCACCCCCTTAGTCACCATGGTACTTAGTACTTAAACTGAAGCTCATGTTGATTCACAAGCTGCTCTTGGTTCCCGAGCTTCTTTCTGATTTGCGCCAATGTTCAGCTTGCAGTCTCTGCACTGGAAATGCCTTGGCTGCCACTCGTAGTTGAGCGTTGGCTCACTTTGGAGTCCTGAGCCACGTGAGCCTCCCGCCTACAAAACGAACATTCAGCAAAAAACACGCAGCTGGACCAGTTGGCTTCCACGCAAGGCATCATTGGCTGCATAGTGTTTTCCATTTGACATTCCAAGGACCTAAGGAACTGGAGGGGTTTGACTCCATCAACCGTCACTTGGTTTGCATGTATCTTAGATCGATACATGCACCTGCAAACTGTATTTTTGCCAGCGAGCTATTATGCAAGTGGCCAGCTGTGCTAGTAAAGCGGCCCGCCAAGCCAGATGAGTTCATGTTCATGTACAACGCAACCTGCTTGAATTTGCAGAGGTTGATTTGGGTTTCTTTCAAAATGGAGTAGTTCTTATAATTGATGAATTTTCTTTTGTTTCCCTTCAAACCTCCCAAAAGGGTACCCTCCAAAAAGGAGACACCATTTGAATGTCATGTCGGTCTCCCTTTAACGATTCAAAGACATGTGCAGGCGCAGTGGCCACAAGAAGGTGACGAGGAGGTTTTGGGAGCCCCGGTGTTTGAAGCAGGTACAGCCAAGGCTGCGTCACCCCCAGGAACAAGAAGCCGAAACCTGCCAAAGTCGGTTTTCCGTACGGCCACGACTCGCCGACTCGCCCGGAGGCAAGTCGACTCTAGCGGATCGCCTTCTGGAGCTGACGGGAACGGTGGCCAAGGAAGACATGAAGTCCCAGTTGCCGCCCGGCGCAGAGCACGCGCGCACCATTCGTAGGGGGCAACTGGCTTCTCCAAATTGGTGGGGTTCGGGGGTGTCTTAAAAAATAGGGAGATCCCCAAAATCGGTGGTGTGTGCCTTGTGTTATCCCTTTAAACCAACAAAAGGGTACCCTGAAAGCAGACACACATATATCTACATATATATATAATGTATATCAGTGTGTATATATATATATATGTTGATATCTATATTGCCTTGTGCATCTTCGAAGAACCTCGAGAAGCGTAGACCAGTCAGGTAAAAAGAAAAAACTGCTTCGAGTTTTCTGCTTACAAATGTCAAGATTCATTCTCGCTGACATAAACCCACATGAGCTACCGGGGTCTGTGGTTGTAAATTCACACTTTCTTGTTGGCAAAGCAAAGTGTTGAACTTTGGGATTGAGCTAGCGTCAGTGGTGGTTGATTTTGTGTTTATCCTTTTTCCTTACCTGAATGCAGACAACACAACAAGGGTGCTTGGGCTAGTCAAAAAAGGCGGGTAAATGGCCATAAGTCACAAGAATGAACCATCGACATGGTGCTGTAAGTAAGTGCGTCGGTCAAGCCCGGTCCATAGTAAACCGCGTTGAAGTGCCTAATGTTTGGAAAGCCAGGTTTCTGCAAAATAATCCGGTTGGGGTAGGTGCCTGGTTGAATGTCTACCAGCTCAATATTCCTGCAAATCCAACCTGTTTGTTTTGGGGATCTGGGAAGACATTCAATGGGGCCAACACATCTGCTTTCTTGCTGGCTGGCCCCGACTGTCTCCGGCCGGAGGGAACCAATGCGAATCCAACCGGAGCAATTGACTAGTGCAACAAACAAATGTCAACTTGCCTAGCCTTTAAATCTGCATCACAAAGACTAGCAAGAAACACTGCATGGGTATTGTATAAAGTGCCGAACCCCTTGGTTGGTTTGAGAGGAGAACCACAATGACGCCCATGCCCCAAGAGATCCAGTTTGATAAGTGCCCAGAGATTTTGAGCTGTTGGCAACGTACCCGGAATCTGCCAGGTGGAAACACGCAATCGGAGGAAGGAGCCAGCCACCTCCAAATTTGAAGATAAAGTAGACAGCAGAAGCAAGCGAAGGATCCCTGCAAGCACCGCAACGCACCACACCATTGCCTGACCGAGCTTGATGTCAAACAAACATATAACCCACAGTTCATCCACCAGCCGCAAGCCAATCTAAGCTTAAACCCACGTTCGAACATCAACCTTGCACACAATATAGGTAGCTGACACCGCAAAGCTGACATTTAGTTACATTGAACAGGCATCCATCCAACCAAGCCTAAGACCAGCCCTTGAAGTACGCTCGGGAAATAATAGAGTCTCAAACACACCCGTGTGACTTGGAAGAATCGTGAAGTCATGGGGCCAGTTGTAGCCATGCCGGCTTAATACCGCAAAGCCAGGTAAAATGCTGTGTTTGTTGACCCTTTTTCTCCAGAATGATATGTCAACATTGTTGCTGGCATGCATGCTTCTTGCCTTGCCCAGAAGAGGCAAACCTGCAGAATGCTTGTGAAAAACGTTCAGGCCAGCTTCCTTTGTGCTTCCATTTCCACATTGTTTCTTTCGTTGCACGGGAACCGTCCAAACAACATGCTCATATACAGACAAAGCTCACTCTCCCCATGTTCCGTCATGTATTCTCGCTCGGCGGAGGCTCGACAGCATGGACATTGAAAGAGAAAGGGGGATTACCATCAAGCTGAACTCTGCTCGCATGAACGTCAACGAGGATGGGGAGGATTACGTCCTGAACCTCATTGAGCCTTGGCTGATCCCCTTTTGAGGATGCCCTTTTCAGTTTGGTTTAAATTGAAACCAATTTCCACCATGTTAATCCCTAGTTTCACACCCACACACACACACTCATGGTATTTGTTTTGTTTTCCTCGGCTTGCGTTGCTCATGCTTGCACCGTGATGCCCTGGTACCATGCCAATAACAGAAGCCACCTGCTTTGGGAGACGATGGGGCCGGCTCAGGGGGGCAGCCTCCACCTTCAAGTCGGGCTGGGTTTCCTGATTTCCCCGTTAAACAACATCCCTGAAAAATGCACAAGGATTTTTCAGTTTTAGGAGCCCACCATGGAGACCCTCTCGCCGCAAGCGATCTCCGGCCGCACGACTCAGGACACGCCAGGGCACGTCGACTTCACCTATGAGGCAAAACTCGGGAAGTGGATGTGCTTGCTACGTCCCCAACAAGTTGGACACCTTCCATACTGCAGGTGTTAGTGTGTTTTTGGGAAGCCAAATTGTTTGGGTGCGCCAATTTTGACGCAAACCCAAATACGCAGAAGGCAAAGCCCACAACAGTTGAGTATTCAAGGGCGTTCAGTACAGATCGCGCGTGAGCTGGATTTTGGACAGCAGGGCGGAAGCCCCTGCTGTGGATGCGGTGTTTGGTATTGTTGTGATTAAGCTGTGCGTACTGAGGAGTTCCCAGAAGAGGCCCGTGTAGCAGCGAGCTAATGAATGGAGACATGCTGCATACCACATCCTTCAAGGTTCGCTGCTTGAAGCTTTTCGTTGTCAAACTCCTGGTACTTTTTGAGCCGATGCAGCACGGAAGTTTGGCCGGCCGCCCCCTCCCATTGAATTCATTCCGCAAAATTGGCGGCTCGTTGGACATGGTCCAATACCGACCTCTCAATTCAACAGGGCCACAAACACCTTTTCAGTCTCTTTTGATGTTTGCGGGCCTGTGGATGTTCATAAAAAATGCTTCTTTTCTGGTTTCTCGGGTCAGGTACTTGGACCTCAGGTCAAAACCACTCGGATGTTGGAAGGATTGAACAAAGTCCCCAGGATGGCTCAGGGGGATTTTGAGTCGCAATTCTCCCTTCCCCAGTTCCTGGACTTTAGGCTTGTAGGAAAAGCGTTAAATTATTGTGGCTGTTTTACATCGAAGGTTGTTGGCCAAACGAGCCAGTTGCTTTGCCTCTTATTGCCTTAAATGACTAAGGATTCCGAAAGCCACCACCCCTCTTTTTCTGAGTGTTTCCTGTTCAGGACTCTTTCTTTGATCCGCGTAACCCTTATGGATGGATCGGCATAGCGGAAAAACGCCTCCGGCACTGGCCCAAAAACCCGATTATTTGAGGTCTTGGGTCAAAAGACCAAGCATGTTTGGGGTAAATACCGGTCTCATGGGAAGCCGTGTATCACCAAACCACCTGAATCGGCTTGCGGGAAGCCTCTATAGCCAAACAAAACCACCTCAAAACTGGATTAACCTTCATTTCGGTTGGTTTTAAGGGGAAATCAACACTTGAGGACAACCAAAAGGAAATCATCACAACGGTGGTTTTGTTTTGGAGGTTTTTTTTTGGGGGGGTCCCCAAAAAAAGACGAGCCACCCATTTACCGGGTTCACCAAACAGAGGTGTCCCAGTCTCCGGCCCGCATGGGCCGATTCGAGGTGAGCCGCTCCCTGGCGGCCTGCGAGGGCGCGCTGCTAGTGGTGGACGCTACCCAGGGCGTCCAGGCGAAAACCGGGGGGGGGGGGGGCGACACGGGGACTCGAAGGGAGCATAGATTCTATATATAGACAGTTATTATTATTGTTACTTTCATTTTACTATATTGTAAGTACCATCCTTGTGATTTGTGTTATCGACATTCTTTCTGATGCTATTTTGTTATTAACTAGACTATCACTATCTCGAAGCAACTAATGGCTGGTCATCATCATGTTCATCAGCATCTCTTTTGCTAGCCATGATTGATCATCATCATCATCATCATCATCATCATCATCATCATCATCACATGGATGATGACAAGCATTGCCCCCTGAAAACAAAACAAAACTAAAGCCGGGCGGGCATGTTCTGAGACTGGGGAAACTTGTGGCAGGCGCAGACCATCGCGAACGTGACCTTGGCGATGGAAGCAGATCTGGACGCTGAGCCAACGAGTGCACGGTTGAGTGGGTACTTGGTTGAGTCAATATTCTGAAAGACGGCGAATTGGAGGAAAATGTTCTACTTTGTTTGCTATTTAACAGTTCTCTCTCTCTCTCTCTCTCTTTCTCTTTTTGCTTGTTGTTGATTGGGTTTCCCTAAAACCCAGGCAGACAAACTGAGCTTTTGTTCAGCCACGGCAGCCTGTGGCTGGGGTTCAGGCCATTCGGGCCGATCCCTCAACCCGCGGAAAGAGTCCGATGGATCGGAACCCCTGGGTTTGTGTTCTCCTTCCGCACCCGGAGTGCCTGTTCGAGCAAGTCAGCAAGCGGTTGGCAGGTTTAACCCACTAAGTCCCCCGTTCAGCGGGGGTAACCTTGTTAGGATGGAGCCCAATTGGCTATCCACTTACTAACTTTTCCGAACATCCAACTGGGTGGTTTTTGCGTCTATCGCTCCCTTCTAGCGCTTCGAGTGGTTGTAGCATGTTACCATCACCTCTTGGGACGCAAAGAGAGTTTCCCTTTTGCAGGAAATTTTAAGCGGAATTATAGATTGCCCTGCCCTGAAGCGTTCCAAGAAGCTTTCCTGGCTTGTTGGCTTCCTCCCCAAGTTGTTGACAACCGGTTGGCTGAGGAGATAGTCCCTGTGCTGAACAAGGTGGACCTGCCCAGTGCGGATCCAGTAGCTCGGCTACGTCTGAGACATGCCCAGGTCCAAGGAAGCCCATTCCCTTCGCGGGGGTTCCGCTTTGCTTCAGCAAGTCTTTGGAGTAGGATTCCCTTACACGCCGAGTTGAGTTGAGGGACGTCGCCCAAACCCCAGCAAAAAACGTTGAACTTTCGTTTGATCTTGTTCCTACATGTTGCTTCGAGTGCAAGAAAAACTGTCTGGGGGTCCAAGCACGAGGGTCTAACCAGGTTTGGGCCCGCATCCTGCGTTTTAGGCCCAAGGTCAAACCCAGGTTTGGAGTTGGAAAGCCGGGTTGCTCTCCGGATCCTTGATCTTAGCATGGGGCGATGTGTGTTTGTATGTTGAGTTACGAGAAGGCGCGTGCGTGTCTCAAAAGCAAATGGTGCTTTGTGTTTGTGTCCGAACTTGGATCCATGTTTCATGTTTGGGCAAGCCATCTGGCACGAGATGGGAAGAACATCATGCCAAGCAATCACCAGATTTGTCTTGTCAGCCTTTGCAAAGCATGGCGACCGAAAAGGCTCACTTCACGCTTCCTGATACAGTTCCCCGCTAACATATTCATGTATATACTTAGATAGCAGGCACATGCTAGTTCCTGTCGCAGGTACATAATGTTGACACGATTCACATCTTCCTCGACTAGGGAAACCACGACAGATCCCTTTCCCCGGAAACGTTCATAGAACAAAGGGGTTCTTCGGGTCCTGTGAGCCATTCAGCCGGGCGGGGGGCTCGCACCACCAAAGCAAAGAACTCCGCTTGAGGACAGAGTGGCCCAGGAGATCGAGGACGTCGTGACTTCCTCAGCCCGCTTGAAAAAAACGTTGGGACTTGGGGTAACTTTGAATTGGTCCCTACGGGTGGGATCAAAGCTTGCCTTGTTTGCTCCAACCCTGGTCTAGGGAGCGTCAGCAATGTTCAAAGATATGCGATGAAGCACTCAAGATGTTGCTTGGCTTGATGTTGATCTGGCTTGGGCTGAGTTCCCTGAATTTTTACTGGCATAAAACAGCCATGGTTTCAACAGGCTATCTCCAAGTAGAAGTAACTCCGTAGCAGGTGTTCATTGAGGCTTGGTGCTTGTCTTCCAGGGTGTGCTAGCGGCCGCAAGCAAACGTGGGGAACTCCCCTCGTTGTTGGACGGCGTATAATACGTGTGTTCGCATGCAGAATCGAACATAGCATTTGGTTACCCTTGCGGCCCCTACCTCAAGCCAACGGGCAGATTGGGGCTCATGGAAAAAAAACGAAAAGAAGAAGCACCATTTGATGGCCGCTTTGTGTCCCCTTGAAGGTGAATAATACACTCATGGCAATGGGGCCCCTGTGGTATCGCAGAAAATGTTATAATATGCTGCTGAACATGGCACTCCCGCAAACCACGATTTGTGGAGGCGTCTGATGTTTTGGTACCCCCTTAAGCCCTTGTTCTCATTCCCTGAGTGCCTGAACTCTACTAATAGTTTAGTGACGCAAGCAAACACTTCAGGTCTGTTTGGCAGATCCACTCAGGAGGTGAGTTGGAGTTTCACCAGCGGATCGGGACTTGAGGTTGTCAGCTCAGGTTGGCATTGACTGCAGCGAAGCCCTCCAGTGCTCAGCAAAGACTGGGCTGGGCGTTGAAGAGATCATCAAGAGCAGCCTGGCGCGCATTGCACAGATGGCCAGCGAATGTGTCAAAATTCCGGGAGCGCTCCTTGAGGGATACGTAGAACTTTTTTAGTTAACACAATACCTTCTTACATTGCCAGCACTTTTGCTGGCAATGTTCATTTGGATGATAGAGGAAGCTTACGTTTAGAAGATGTTGAAGAAACATGCGGAAGGCCAGGCATGCTCGTTTCGAGAGCTTTGGCAACCAGACTTTCGAGCTTAGGTGAATCCAAACATCTCACAGCTCAAGGTTTCTCAGAGTGTGAGGTATGCGCCGTCGCACTGCAATGGAAAGTGTCTTTCTTTATGTATTTCTGCCTAAGTGAGTTTAAAGGGAAACTAAAAGGAAGCAAATCATTTCGGGGGTTTTCATTCCCATGTTGAGACCACCCCATGTGTTTCTGTCTTTTCTCCCCGTGAAAAGCATCGGGCAGGTGCGCTTAGATCAGTCCTTTGGAAGGCCAACATGGCAGCTCAGCGGGCAGCGGACTTCAGGGGATGGACAACCTCTGCATCCTATCCCTTGCTCTGTGTCCTGTGGTCTCACGTACTTTGGTATGCGTTTGCTGCTCTGGGTCAGAGCAGCGGGTGAATGGTTGTTGCATGCGCCGAAGCCGTGCAATGTCCCGCCCTGTGCTCTTTCAGTACTATTTTAGTACTCTTCCAATGCCCTGCATGGGTGGATCCACAAACGCAGCGGCATCCAAACGATTCCCCCGAGACAAGTCTGGAGACGGGGGACTTGCAACCTCAGCCTTTCGTGTGCATGTCGGGGTCTTTTGGGACAACTCACCCTGATTTTACACAGAGTGACATGGCAAAGAAGCCAGGAGAATCTCTCCTTTGGTGGGACGTTTTCTTCATTTTTCAACAGGTTCCAGGTTAATTTTCAGAAAGTACGTCAGATCCAGACTAATAGTTTGTTCAACCTTTAGAGCCAATGCGAGGTTCAACTCGCACCCATAATTTCAGATAAAGCTTTGATTTCTCCGCCACCCCCCCACCCTCCCGCAGGGCGCGCCAGTTTCGTTTCGGCTGAGGCATCATCAAGCGCATCCCAGCGCCGCCGGAGGCGACGGGCAAGAAAATGCGCCGGGCGCCCAGCATCATTTTGTTGCTGAATTTCAGACAGCCGGTGAAAGATGGCGCCCCATTCCAAGCCATGGTCACTCGTCCCCTTTACTTATCCAAAGGGAATTGTGCCATCTCGTTCCACCCTTGAGTAATTCTTAACGTTTTCTCAAGGGAAAAAGCAAAATTGAGCTGCTTAACCACGTACCAGGCGTTCCAATGGTGAATATGTTCATATCGTAAGGGATCCATGCCCTTGGCCTGCACCGGCCACGTGTTGGTCAGTGGATGTGTTCATCCAACATCAACCCCCAGAGGAAGGGTTCAACCATCACGCTGCGGTATTGCACTTTCTTGCTTGGTATTCTTTTACGGGAATGCGTTTGGAACACTGCACCCTGTCACCTTGCCCCACGGCACGGTCTCCGAAGCAAGCTTCACAGGGACCAAGAAAAGTCATGCTCGCAGCTTGCGGGTTTCCCGCGAGAGTCCCCACATGTCCCTTTTGGGCTGGTCTAAACATTGGCTGGCTGTTTGTTGCCAATGTGAACAGTTTGATGATAGTTTGATGTTTTTTGGGGATATAGGAACCCAGCTACACCCCAGGCATGTTGGTTTTCGACAGCTTCTACGACAACTACAGAGGCCTTCGACGCATTTTGGGCGAGAGGAGCCTCGAAGGGGCTGGAAAAGGAGGGCAATAGGCAGCGAGATTTTGGACTGCATGATGAACTCTCGGTTTCACTTCCCCTCTTCGGGAAAGGCTAAACAGAACCACTGGACTCCGCAGCTTTGGACGTTGAGGCCTTTAGAGGGGATCGTCCGGCCATAGGATGCAGGGGAGAGGATGCTCTTGATTTTCAATCCGGAAGGTCGCACAGTGGTATGGGTCAAAATAAAAGGTTCAGGGGACCGCAGGTTTTAGTCCATGTGTCCATTTACCAGGGTTCCATTTTGGAACGTATTTTGACCCACATCTTCCCTTTTGCCTGCAGTTCAAAACCAAATTTAGCATTTGTTTATCGCATACAATTTACTTACGACGCACTACAACTACAACGCACTAAGTTTACTCACCGGCTGGGGTTACGGCTGATGCCCTCAATATCGCAAGTAGACCAATCAGACTTTGCTATATCGTACCAGAGGGATTTTAAGATCAATCATGGGTTTCTCTTGCTTCCCGGCAGGGGCATCAGGAAAAACTACTTTCTATAAGGGGTGATCATCCAAGTAGTTGCTGCATTCATGTGGATCTGAGCTCAGCTGTCCCGCTGTCCAGCGCGCAGGCGTCATCGCCATGTTCCGGGTGGTGGATGGAAGCATCAACAAAGGACGGGCAAAGAGGTTAGATGAAATGCTCCATGCGGAAAAACATTTGGCCATGAATTTGAATTTGGGATACCCTGACAAGAAGTAAGTGGGCAGAATCCCCTGATGTCCACCAAAGGTCCTCAACTCAACTGAGACAGGACACAACCCGCCACAAGCTGATCAGTTGATGTCAGGCCTGTGGTTCCCTTATCACCGTGTATAACACCCCTCATTTGTCCAACCCCCCACATCTTGGGCCACGAAGCCGGAAGGAAAATGGAGGCCTCTTCGCACCGGCAGGTGTAAAGATTCCTCTCTCAGTCTGGAGCTTCAACCCGTTGCCATTTGAGCGACAAACAGAGCTGCGAAGCAAGCAAGTAAATGACCTTCCATAAGGACAGAACAGAAGAGATCATAAGAGGTTTGGACAGGTGTGGAAAGATTTGGGTCTTCTACCTGTCATTGGAACCCAGGAATGATCATCAATCCGTGGGTTGTTGAATGGGGGAAGCACCTTCTTGGTCTGCCAGAATTGACAAGGCCTCAACAAGTTCCCAGGTAAGGATGCACATTGGCTGTGCCTTACACATGCGACTTCCTTCAAACCAAGTTTCCCCTTTGTTTCAGAAGATTCAACCCCGACCAAAAGTGGTTGGTGCGACATAAATCGCTTCCTGAATGGTGTGCACCACAGGGGTCCCAACTCAAAATTCGTACCCAAATAGAACATTCATGGCATGGATCTTGGCTTTGCTGCCCCTGGCGCGTTCCAACCCATGCGGAGCGCCCTGCAACGGCGCCTTCGGCGCCCGGGAATTCAGCACCTTCGGCGCTTGCTGCGAAAAGCTTCGCTTTGGGGACCCCCGCTGTGTTCATGGCTTGGTGGAAGAGAGCGTGTGCTTGGAGCCTCGGAAGCATGATGCGTTGCATGATTGAGTTGTTTGTTTTCTTGCTTTGTTTGTTTGTTTGCTTTGTTTGATTGTTGGTGGGATTGTTTCTTGCTTTGCTGGCTGGGTGGCTAGTTTTCCTGCTGGCTGGCCTGCTTGCTTGAGGTTGTTGAAGTGGTGGGGTTGCAGATGTTTGGCATGGGTTGCTAAGTTCCAACAGGGAGTGCTTGATTTTCTCAGGTCCGATCACTTGAATCTTCTCTCTACTCCAAATACTGTACCTGCCTTTTGAGTGTATGTGTCGGCAAAGGGCTTTCCACTGTAAATACGAGTTTGTGTATTTTTGAGGGTACCCTAGGGTACCCTCTTCACGTTGGCGGGCTCCCATCATTTGGGTGTCCCTCTATTATGATACCTGTACCTCTCTTCTTTAGTCATGACTTGACAGGTAATTGGGAGTTTGCGGGTAGATCAAACCAAAAGCTTCACTTCGCGGCGAGCAGAGCTCAGGAATACGAATGGCGGTGCCCCAGCATACCACACCGCCTCCTTTACATGAAAACATGTTTTTTGGGACGGGCTTACAGTATCACAGAAGTGGTTGCAATTTCCACAATAAGCCAACCATAAACCAACGCTCAACCAGGTGCTATGGATGAAACAATTACATCCGGGGTTCACCCGGGGTGGAAACCCAACTGGAGCCGATCGATTCGCGTGGACTTTGTCCGACATCAGAAGCGTTTGCTTCCATCCACTTGAGATTTTTTGTTATTTTCCCCTGTTGCTGTTGAAGGGAACGAAAACGCAAAAGGAGGGTTTGCATGTCCCAGACACCTGGAGCTCAGGAGGGCCCGGCCTTGCTGCTGCACGCCTTGCACTCTGAGCTCAGCTCGCTGCCGCCGCTGCAGCGGTGGCTGGCAAAGCGTCTGAAGGGGCACCAGGCAGCATCTGTGGACATGTGCCCATTTTTGGACTGCCCCTAGGTGGTCAATTTGTGCTTTGTGGGAAAACCAAAAGAATACCCGTCATTTTCGGGGTCCGCCATTTTGACTCATACGGTAGAATTGACACCCAGGGGTTTCCCTTTTTAGGGAAATCAACAGCTCTAATAGTAGCAGTCACATTAATGAACCCTGGCACTTTTGACTCAACTGCCACATGGGGCGCCAATTTGATGCTGGCTCTCAGGTTCCTCTGATCCCGATTGATTTGTCTTTGGCTTCGGTGGTTCGTTCTTTGGGCATTCCCCTCGCAGATGTGGTAGTTGCACCATGGAACTTAAAGGCCACCAAGTATTGCTTACCAACATCTCAAACGACAGTCTTTTTCCATGATCAAAACCCCGATTGTGCTGTCCAGAAAGCAGTCATCAGGTGCTGGTAGGGTCCGCTCTGCTCATTTCATGTCGAGCTTACCTTGGGCTAAAATAAGCGAGCCTTTTTAATCGGGATTGTTTTTTTTCTTTTTCCTTTTTGCCTTTTTTTGTGAACATCTAGGGGTGTTTCTCCAAAATAGGAAGCCCCCCCTCCCAAAAGGCGAGGAAACCTGTTTCCTTGTGGGTTGCCGTTAAACCCATCCAAAAGGGTCTGCCATTCTGAGAAACCTGGGCCATCATATTTTGGTTACGGACCCTCACATCGAAATTCGGTGGTCGGATTCATGTCCGCCCACTTTGAGGTGGCTCCAACTCTCAAGATTCATATAGCCATGCATGTCTTTAGGTCCATTTGAATGTGTCTTTTTTAGGGGTCCCCAAAAAAGGTTGGTTTCCTTGCGGTTTCCCCTTTAACACCAAACAACGGGTACCCTCCACAAAAGACGAGCCACCCATAGAGTAGTTGGCCCAGACCCCACGTTTCTTTCGATGATCGGCAGGACCTGCAGCGGGTGCTGCAGAGCTCCGCAAAAGGCCTCCAACTGCGAAGGGAGGTGATCTATGCGCACCTGGCCTGCGCGCCTTGGAACAGTTCCAACATTGTGGCTGCAGGCGTTCCGGAGCCAAGTTGCTGTTAGAAAGGAGGAGCTCAGGAGTAGATGGAACTTGGTGGGACTTGGTGGGACTTGGTGGGACTTGGTGGAGCTTGGTGGAGCTTGGTGGAACTTGGTGGGACTTGGCGGGACTTGGTGGGACTTGGTGGGACTTGGTGGGACTTGGTGAGACTTGGTGGGACTTGGTGGGACTTGGTGGAACTGGGAGTTTTACCCTCCACCAATTCAGGTGTACCTGATCCATGACCCCGAACAGCGCCACACACCCGGTTTCTCATGATTCCCAACACCAAAGGCTGGTGGGCGATTGTTCAGTTTGTCCAGCCTCTATTTAACCACCAAGCAAGCCCACAAATCGTCCTGTTTGGTCAGCTTGGTTGAAACTACACAGGTTTCGGCTTGCTAGTGAAAGACACCAGTGGAATCCATCGATCTGTTTGTAAAGGGCGGGGGTCATGGGGAGCACCAGGGTGCCTTAGACACCTGGAGCTGAGATGTGCACGAGTCTTACAATTTCTCCGCGTATTGGCACTGTCGAAGGCACACCACCTTGAAGTCTAGTTAGCAGAGCAAGGCCAATTTTGGGGCAGCCAGCTTGTTCTGGAACTAGCCATGCATACGACGCGTCGGGTTCCAAAGACCCACAAATGGCCTTAGGATCACTTTCCGTGAGTGGCCAAGACAACCCCCTTCAAAGTGACAAAGCAGTCATGGGGATTGTCTACTTTGCTGCAACCATGGCCACCATGTCGGTTTGTCGCTTTTTAAGGCTCAGTACCCTCTTTGTAGTTGGTTTGAACGAAAACCAAGGGGAAACTGGTGCCCTTCTGGGCCTTCCGATTCCTACTTCGAGACAACTTCTTGTACCATCTCGGGAACTGCTCACTTCTCTGATACCAACGGGGAACCCCTTCAAAGTGAAAAGTCATGCAAATCACCAATGTTATACCAGCACCCTCCAAGGGTGTGCATTTGTACCTGATGTGCCCTTGAGCCATTTGAGGTACTAATTCACAACCCTCAACCCGAGGGTTGAGTGATGTTTTCCAGTCCACCAAGTGCCTCAGGAACTTCAGCTGGAGGTCTTTGTGGAGCTTGGTGTTCAGGAGGGCGTCTTCTCCCAGGGGTTGTTGGAGGCCTTGGAAGCGGTGCGCTGTCCCGCCAGGAGGTATTGGATGGTGGATACCTGGCACTGGTGACTCGGATGGGGGGAGTGGGGGCCAATTTGGCTGGATCTTTGATCTTTTTGACTTGTTTTTGGGAGCATGCGAGTTTTCCCAAAATGGGTGTGTCACTCTTTTTTGAGGGAACCTTTGGATTCTTTGGTGCTTTTTCAGGGGAAGCCATTGGGAAAACAACTTTCTTCTTTTTTTGTGGGGGGGAGGTCCCCACAAAAAGAGACACCCACTGGTCAACAAACACTTTAAGCTTCGTGCACAGGGCCAAGTTCCCAACACACAAGGGAGTGTCGAGTGTGTCACAATTGGGAACAAATGGCGATGCTCCTTCTTGGTTCCTTCAAACCATCTAAGAAAGGCCAACCTCAACAAGGACACATTCAGCTGGACAAACCAACAAGGGAGTCAAACAAGGGGCCTGTCTTCTGACTACTGACCAGTCCTTGTTTGGCCACGTGTTTTGTTTTCTTGGTTTTTTGGGTCAAACAAAGCGTGGACATAAGGGGTCGCCCAAGCAATGGAAAAGGGCAAGTCTGCAAGCACCGGATCTGGTGCGATTGCTTCCTGTTTTGCTCACTGCCTGGTAATGTCAATTTGGCCTTTCGAAAGCTGGCAAGGGTGGAATAGCTTTGCCAATGTTGCATGAAGCCATGAGAATACTTGCTGTTCGAAAACGCCGAGCGCCGGAGCATAGTTTCAAAGCATCAAGGGAGATACGCACGAGGCGCAGTTGTAAACACCTTATTGGCCATGCCTTAGTCGAGCACAAATGGCTAACACCAACATACAGCACGCTCCGTGGTTGTGTTTCCTTGTGCAGCTGTTCGCTCACCAGATAGGCTGACACGGCACCCGGGAGAATCAGCCCTATAGCATCTCTCATGTTCGCAAGTTTGCTCAACAGATCATTGCTGGATTGGCTTACGACCAGCATGTCGCACACAACTTGTGCGAGCCGAAAGGTGAGCAGTTTTTGGCTTGACCTTTTTCTCCTTATCTGTTCAACTGGAAGCATTGTGATGTGATTCACGTCGAACCCCGCCCTCCCCCCAAGCACCTGCCCGCATTGTCACTGCGAGATTCAAAATGGGTTCCTTGTTTTCAGACACCCACATTGCCATGTTTCATGGCCTTAGGCAAGCCTCTTACGACGATGAGGCCAATGTGGAGAACCAGCAACAGGCAGGGCTGGACGTGGCAGAGTATCTCGGGCGCCTTACAATCTGAAACTGTGTTGAGGAATTCGCGGCAACCTTCCGGGAGGTTGTGGCCCCCTCTAAATATTTGGGCGTTTGGCTTGTGTTGCGGGTAGCACAAGGTGTTGTTTGTGTGTCTGTCTGATGGTTCGTTATTCCAGTAGCTGTTTGCGGATAAGGTGGCATTATTTTTGTGTGTGTATATACTGTATGTGCGCTAATGCTGTTTGGTTTGGTTGTGTTTTAATGTGGCATTGTAACCAATGAAACGATGCACATGCCATTTGGGTGAAAGAATCTAAGAAGATGGCCCACACTCGGTTCGGTTTCAACATTCCCTTTGCTTGTATCATCTACTTCCAATACTGATTCAGAGCCATAGCAAGGCCCCTAAATAGTTCTGAAGGCCCGTAATCATCAATTCGTAGGACTACTTTTGCCCTAGTTTGAATAGCCAATCAAACTACCCCCCAACAGATGATAAGAAATAGAACTACCCCTCAAAAAGACAGATACGTGTGTAAGCCTGAGCTCGCCGATCCACGCCTCGCCGTTTGAAGCGTCCCCCGCCGTTTCCGCCAGGCGTGGTTTCTGCGCTCGGCGGTGAAGGCGGTGGAGGGTTTTTGGGGCCAAGCGCCGCGGGTGCTGCAGCTGCCCTCGCTGGAGGCCGGCGATCTGTGGCTGCTGCTTTTTGTGCTTGGGTTTGTTTGTTTGTTTCTTGCTCCTGTTCGTTGGGAGCTGCAAAATCCGGCGGTCATCAAAAGGATGCATGATTGTCATGTGCACCAAGGCTCCCCTTAGCCATTTAATGAGCCGAAATCGAAAGCCGGGTAGTTGGAGCGTAGCAGAAAAGAGTCCCAACCTGCAACAGGTTCGAAAACCTTATTGACTCATTTAGCTGTTTTAATCGCGACTCATGTCACCCTCTTGTTCCATTGAGAAGGTATAAACCAATACCCCATGGCTGATGCCACTGGTGAGATTAATTGGCCTCTCGGAAGGAGGACACCTTCTCAATTCAAGAACTCTTTCATGCTTGTTTTCCAGTTGCCTTAGTTCCTCAAGACGTCCAAAGTCAATGGTCTAGAAAACGGTTTGGATGCGCTTTTTGTGGATTTTACCTGTTCTTCCCCTGTTAGTCTTTTTTAGTACTCTTTTAGTACTCTTTTAATATTCTACAGGCGAAGATCCACAAAAACCGCATCCAAACAGTTTCCTGGAAATGGGTTTGGGAGATGCTCCATTTGGACCATCAAAGAGGTTGGAGAGCCCTTTGCCGCTGACGTGGGAACTGTAGGCTTCACCATGTTGAAGCATGCTTCCCGATATGTTCTTGAATGGGTTTTCCCTGTTCATTGGATTCATGTATTGTTCTCACTATCCCACTGCAAGTCGACCTTCACCGTTTGGTTCCCCATGTTCCATGTTCCATGTTGTTACACATTGGGTTTCCCTCAAATTTGATGGTGTTTTCCTTGACCGCCAAGTAGTGAAGAAGAAGCTGCACGATTTGCGCATGGGAAAATCCGGTTCGACCAGGCCGCCGCCGTGGTGAAAGAGGTGGACTTTGTGTACCTGGATGCCCGACACGACTACTGCGGTGCGCCTCGCCTTAGAAAACCATGGACGGGTGTGTCGCTTGTTTGAGGGTGCCCATGTTTGGTGGGTTTGAAAGGAACACCAACAGGAAAGCCATCAATTTGGGGGGTCCCCTAGACACCCCATTGGGCCAACCGTTTAGACGTGGAAAAACAACGACAGCCCTCGGCGTTGCACACGGAGGGTTCGACGGGCCAACTCACTGTAAGAACATGCAGCCATGTTTGCCTGACATGTTCAACAGCGATTGTTAAACCAGCCTCCTTCCGTTCCTATTTAACAAGTTTTCAGGGATTAGGTTCTGCTTGTTTTGCCACGTTTTGTGCAACTCTGGCGCCGATGCGCGACGGGCTGCAACAAGTAGCCCTGCCGTAGCATTTTCAGACTTCACTGAACATCAAAACACCGAGCCGGCCGCAGTGGTTCCAAAGGTACATCGCAATGCTGTTCAAGCAAAGCCCACGGATTCAATAGATACTTTGTGTTCTCATGGAAACAACGGTGATGCAGTTTGAGCTAACCCTCCCACGGTAGGAACCCGGCCGGCATCAGCCGTTCGTTTGGCAGGTGCTCGAAGACCTGCAGACCTGGTGGCCAAAGTTGCGGCCAGGGGGGCTGATGGCCGGCAACGACTTCGGCACCTTTAGCCAGAACTGGACCCAATGGACGCGGTGAAGCAGTTCAGTGGCTTTCGGCGTCTGTGGTTTTTCCAGGAAGTCCACAACCCCCGAAGGACACCTAAAATGATCTTTCCGCCAAAATCCTCTTTCCACCAATAACCAGTTTTTCCGGGTCCTTGGAAGGTTTCGGTTTGTTCTTCTTTAATATTAAGAGGGTAAAAGCTGTACACGCTAATGTCCCATAAACCAAAGGGCAACATGATTCATTGCATCTGTCAATGATTGATCTGTTTAATCTATTACTATGTCATTGTAATTACGAACAATTGACTCATCTCTGGTTAAGAAGGGAGGGGATGAAAGGTAAGGGACACAGGCCACAGGAAGAAAATGCCAACAAACCCGACATTAGCCCAAACAAGTTGGGGGTCACAGGTCATAAGTCCCTTTTTCAGGGCTTCATTTTTACCCAGACTTAAGCACGCCTTCTCAAATTAAAATGAGCCACCTTGTTTAAGCCCGCAGTCAAAACATGGAACACTGCCCTAGGTTTGTCTCTTTTTTTTAGAGAACTTCAATTGTTGTTGTGTTTGGTTTCTTCTTTGTTCACGGGAACCACATGGACACCGCACGCATTTTATTAGGTGTTTCATCTATTTGGATGAATCCAGCCCTTCCTGTAGCCAAGGACGCGGTGCAGTAACGGCACTCGACGCCTGGGCCGCGTGCGCCGGGCGGTAAGCGACTTCTTCGACAGAAAAGCGGATTTGGCAGATGGGTTCGCCTATATGCGCCTCAAGCCGATCCTACCTTTCCGTTTTCAACGTTTCCACTACAGTGTTTTTGAGAGCATTCTTTCCAGATTGGTTTCACGGGGTTCGCAAAAGGAAACCCACCATTGTGGGGTCCACCTAGTTTGGAGAGATACCCATTTTTTGGTTGGTTCCTGTTTGGTCATGGCTGCAATGTATTCATCATGTGTTTAGACTCGGTCATTGGGCCGAGGCACGAGTGGCTGGCGTTGAAGGGGCCGAATGCCGACGTTGCAAAAAGCAAAGGGCGGCTGCGTTTGTTCCATGTGAGGTGCGGTCAGATTTGCAGTTCATAAACCCGAAAGTTGGCAGGACAGAAGATTCGCTTCAAGGCCTCGGGCAAGGAGTTCATTGTGGAGGAGTGGGTAGCTTGTGGCTGCCAGGCAGAAAGGCACAAGTCTTGTCCAGGAGGTTCACATGGGTATGAATTGAATACTGGGAACCCTTGGTGGACATCATTTAGGTGGGGATCAATGTCCACCAACCATTTGGGACGGCTTTCCTCATTGGATTTCATAGCCATATGTTCAACCCTTCCATTTGAAGGCTTCAAGTGGCCGATTATTTCATCTGTTGTTGCGGGTGCGCGTTTTACATTGTTCTCTTTGAAGGGAAACCAAAAGGGAACCCGCCTTGAGGGACACGGCAAGCCACGCGGCCGTTTCGGTGGCTTTCAATCATCGCTGGACCTGGCGTCCTTCTCTGAACTGAGGAAGATGAACTCAGTCCCTGACTTCCTTCACTCATTTTCAGAGGTTTTGGTGGTACACAAAAAGTTTTGATGGCCATCCACTCAGGAAATGAGTAAGACAAGACCACTGGCAAGCACGCCACGGTTGTTTGCGTTCCCAGCGCAGCACTTGTGAGACGATTGGTTCGGAAACTAGCACCAAGGTGCACAGCAGTGACGGGCTCAAGGTTGCCAAGGATACGTCATGTTCCAGTGTCAATGTTCAATTGCTTGAGTTGATGTTTGCATTTGATCGCCATCTCATTTATGAGGCTTACTGTTTTAAGTCGGCAAAATATACTTGCAGGCAGCTTGTCGTTGTACATGTTGCTAGAGACTAAGACATGGGCCATTGTGGCATGCCATCAGACGATGGAGCTCGCAGCCTAACTTCCCTGGGTTCAGTGTATCATCCACATTCGCTGTGTCCCTTGCAAGAAGGAGAATCCAACATATGGTGCATAGCCCAGGTGTTACAATGTCTTTCCAAGTTTCGGAAAAAGAAGCCAAAGAGACCAGCTGTGCGTCATTTGCTCGGGCTGATGCGTCGTGGTCGCAGGAGATCGGCATCATGATCCTGGGCCGGCAATTGGACCAAGGCTCCCGAAACGATACATGGGTGTGGCTCAAAATTAGCCGGGCGGGGTTACGCAGGTTTTGGTCCATGTTTCCACTTGCCAGAGTTCTATTTTGGTATCCGTTTTTTGAGCCACAGCCACATCACCAAGCCACCGGCTTTACACGGGAATCCTTCAAATCAGTTGGTAAAGGTGACGTCGAAACTGGCTCAAATGTGTCCCTTAAGGGACCCTGTTGCGCACGGCTGCATAAAGAGCGGGATGCACTTCAGCAGGGGAAAGTGATTGCTGCGTTTGCCCGGGGAGCTAATTGTCTTTCCTCCCCCGCAAATTGGCATGGCACCCAAATCACGGTCCCCACACGAAGATTCCTCTACAAATGATGGTTTTTGGGTTGCATGTTTTTTGTGCAGGGGAGTACCTGTTGTGGTGGCAGACTCAACGTTTTTTGTCTCTGCCTTTATCCTTTTGCTCAAGTTCCAACGGATTATTTTTAAAATAAAACTTGGCCAGTCAACTGAGCAGGTCGGTTGCTGGATGCACACCAAAGGCTTGCACCTGAGACGAATTCTGTTCCTATCCATTCAGGCTACCTCAATTGCTGGTTTGGATTGTCTGATAGTTGGGATCCCGCCCCCAGAACGCCTCCAAACCACCGATGCGGCTCCAAACCACCAAAAAAAAAGCGAGGGAAGCTAATCTTTCAGTTGCTCAAGAATATGTTGTATTTGCCCCTGTTGATGGTAAAGGGAATCTATCACTACCGTATTTTTCTTTTTTCCCAGGGGACGTATTCGCTTAAATGGAAGTAATCATTCCATGAATCTGAGGATCGGCGGCCTGAGGAAGCCTGTCAAGAAGCTGGCGGAGGGTGAAGTCGGGTATGTTTGCGCCAACATCAAAAGCGCCCCTGGGATCGCATCAGCCGAGGTTCCGCCTGTTGCCGCAAGCAACACCCAGGAAGTATGTTTGTGTTTGTTTAATGTTTATTTCGACTTCATAGTGGGGGTTAGTTCAAATGCATAGGCTGCATAGGGGTGGTGGGTGCTTAAAATTGCGAAGGGCGGGGCTGTGTGATTTCGACCCTTGGAAGTCTATTCATGGTAGCGACCTCGCCCACCTGCCTGGAGTTTGGAACCCCACGATGAGGGTCGCTTATTTGAGGTCAGTGAAGTATTCTAAGTTCATGTCAGTGATCTTAATGATTGTTTTTCAGCATTGTTCTGCAGTTGGGTGAATGAAGTAAGATGGCACAGGTCCCCCTTTCGCCTTTGCTTACCCTTTTTAAAGGGAGTTTTCCCATGTGCTTTTTTACCTGTAGTGATGCATGGGAAGTGGCTGACGTCACGACCTTTCGAGGTGAGCGATGCCCGTGTGGGCGACACCATCATCGAAGCGGGCACTGAGAACGAGGTGGAAGCCCTGCCCGGCTACACCGAGGCGAGTGAGTCAGGTCGACTCGACTTTAGGGGTGGGTGGGTAGACTTGAGGGGTGGGAGCCCGTTTAGGGTGGCTGACAGGGAAACCAAGTGGCGACCCATCTTGAAGATGGAATTTGGAGGAGGGGCCATTTCGACCCATGGGATGCCCATCACTCTTTCGGGCACGAAGAAGTCAAGTTTGGGTACTCTACAGGAAGTTTCCCAGGGCACATCATCCATCAGCGCCCAGCTCGCCTAGCCGTTCAGCTTGGGAAAATCAAATTCACCTTGGATTCATTCATCTAACTTTTGTATTTGGATTATTTCACTGCCAGTCTGCGCCTTGCATTGCTCTGATTTGTGTGTGTGCCCTTGCATTGCTCTGATTTGTGTGTGTGTGTGTGGGTGGGGGGGTGGCAACTTTCCCTTATTGGCCATGTTATTGCGTGGTGGCCTAAATCCATTCAGGACTGCAAGGCATCCAGGTTGCCCTGGGATTCACTTTCGCAGCCAAGGCTAAGCCTGACCAGTTGGGAGCGGGTGTGTTTGGGAAAATTGGACCCAACTTCTCGTGTTGGAGCGGGGACTTGGATCGCGTTCTCCGTCTAGGATCCTTCAGCCCAAAATCTTGACTGCCAGGCAACTCCCATGGTCTTCTGCGGCTGCTCGCCAAGGGAGGCACACAGTTTCAAAAAAAAAATGAGCTCACGGGTGTGGTCAGAGCTCACCATGCTATTACCAGCAGATCCCTTTCAGGTTTCGGAGTTATAGAAGAATCGAAACACAAAAGCAGATTCCAACCCCGGGACACAAAAAGTGGTGAGTGCGTCGCTCCTGAACGCTGGCAAAACCATCGCTTCAGAACGCTGAAACAAAATCGCTTCGGAACGCCGGAAAACGTACTAATCGCTTCGGAACGCTGGAAGTGGAGCCACGTGCCACGCGCAGCACCGAGACACCGGCGAGTGCTTCGCTCTTGAACGCTGGGACAAGAATCGGCACCCATGCGTCCACGCGCCCACCTGCCCACAGGCCCACGCACTGCTCGCAGCACTTTTGGCTGTTCGTGCTCGCAGCGGGTCCATGCGCCCACGCACCGCACTGGGCTGTTCGTGTTTGAAGCGCTGGTTAACGCCACCATGCTTACGCAGCCACATTGTTACCCACGCGCCCATGCACTGCTTGCACCGTCTGCTAACATGAACAGCACCTGCCACCGGAGTCTGGATCAAGTGATTTGGGTTTCGGTTGTAGCGCCCCACTTTTTCGTGAAGTTGTTTGGGCTGTGTCAGGTTTATTGTTTCAGGTTCATTTGATTACAGAGCTTCCCCCCCCCCCACCCCACCCCCCACCCCCAGAACCAGATGAATTTGCACATTTGGTTACAGAGCTTCAGCGGGTGTGCTTATCATGCCCCCCCCCCACCCCACCCCCACCCCCAGAACCAGATGAATTTGCACATTTGGGTATAGAGCTTCAGCGGGTGTGCTTATCATGCCCCCCCCCCCCACCCCAACCCCCCACCCCCAGAACCAGATGAATTTGCACATTTGGGTGTAGAGCTTCAGCGGGTGTGCTTATCACCCCCCCCCCAGAACCACTAGATTTTGCACACCTGGGCTGGGACGCCTGCCTGCGTACGGAAGTGATCCTGGGCTGGGACGCCTGCGTTCGGAAGTGATCTTTTTGACTGACCGGGTTTTGCAACCCTTTCGGCGTTCCGGGTGCTCAGTGTTTTGAAGTGATTTTTTTAGTGTTCGGAAGTGATCGAAAGTGGCAGCGTTCACAAGTGTTTTTTTTAGCGTTCTGAAGTGATTGTCTACCCAAAAAGGGACACTTTTCCCACAGAAGCTGCTTTGTGTGGACGCTCATGTGGTGATCTGACGGAGGAAGCTTATCATTGTCCAGCCCAAAAGGACTAAAACAAATAGAATCATGGTTCTCCTATACTCAGAAGGTAATATCGTGTGTTAGTGTACTTACTTGGGGTTACTGAAGCCCTTATCTACTAGTCTATCAGTGCTTCAATGCAGCTCCCACAGTGGCAGCCCAGCATCTCAAGCCATCTCGCCGTTGAATCGATCAAGCCGTGTGATATGTTTTCAAGTCCCCCCACCATTGGCTTACCCAGTCACATCCGGTTGGCTTGTGTGTCCGCTTCCATTCAGCAACAACATGAGTTTGATTCATCGCGGTCTGGATTGTGTTGCTTTGAGTTGATTTGTTCGCGCGCGTCAGTTCCGTTGTGGAACTTGCACGTTGGTGTCTCTCTCTCGCTCTCTTTGTATTTGGCTCATTCAATGTCAACTATTTCGTAAGTCGTGCTAGCCGAGATCAACTGTTTGCCAGCATTTAGCATGTTGGTTTGTCGCCAAATGAAGGAACTCCCAAATGGATGGCTTCATTTTGGTTTACCTGCAAACAATCTCAAAAAGGGTACCCTCGAAACAAGTCACACCTGTGTTTGGATGTCCAGGTCATGGCCATGTTCCACGGTCCAAATACCCTTCGGCAAGGCAAACCGCGGGATCTTGCACATGTACTAGGATGTGTGGATGGACGCAATCCTGCACCACTTTGAAACCATGATTATCTGATTGAAGCAACCTTTGTTGGTACTTTTCAATTCCACGGACGTTTTGGCAATGTTGACGTGTTCGTTTTCGCTGAGGTTTGTTCCCCTCGGAGTCCGGGGAGTTCGACACCTTGAGGACCGCCTTCGAGCGGCTGTCGCTGAACGATGCCGCCCTTTTCTATGAACCCGAGAACTCCGTGCCTGGGAAGTAGCGAAGTCCCGTCCCGAATATGGGCGTGTGTCTCGTGTTTTGTGTAGGGAAACCCATGTTGTTGGTTGGTTTTGAAGGGAAACCAAAAGGACAACCCATCATTTTTATACATCTTGTTTGGGGGAACCCTAAAAAGGACACGCCCATTGCCCATGGTTCGCTCCTTTTTGGTGTCAAAGGTGACCTGCGCTTGGTAGGGGAATGGCTTAAAGGGCAAGATAGGGAACCTGTGCCTGTGCCGGCCGTCTCTCTTGGCCTCAGAAGGGCTCCAAAAAGGCAGGTCAAAGAACAAAGTCTTCTGGGTGGTCGCTGTCAGACTAAACCAAGATATGAATCTAAGAATGTTGTCAAGGAGCCTGCAGGCGTTCTTGGCTCCGCTGGAATAGACTGCTTTGGCAATTCCAATCGATGTGATTCAAACGTGCATCAACGGACTTTTAGATGGAACTTGTCAATTTCCAATAACGCGAGCGAATGAAACTCGGAATAGCAGGCGGAAGCGCTTTGGCAAGCAAATGGGACATGTCCTTGTTTGCAGTGCTAAAATATGGGCGTCGTTTTTTTTTTTCAAAGTCAAGCCCCAAGCTAAGATCTACAGCAACATTCAGTTCAGATTCTGAATGTTCAAATCCCTCCTCCCAAGTGGATTTGTTTCTGATCCTGATTTTGAACATCGCAGAGTCAAGCAAAAGTTCAAGGCTCTTCTTTTCCCATCCACCTGCGACATGTTTGGTTCCTACGGAATTCACTAGATGAACGTAGCCACGTATGGTTGGCAGTTGGTGCCTCAGAAATCAGCGGTGATTAGGTTTCAGCAGTTGGGAAGTAGATGACACTAACTCCATCATGCATTTAGTCCTCCCCCTACGTCTATAACACCTAAACACAGTGCGATTCCAATGAGGAAGTGCCTCCACCAACCCCCCCCCCCCCAGGTTCCTAGTCCATGGAACCAGCCTGCGACCCTTCGACTTGGCCTTAAGGTGGCACTGGGCCTCGGCTTCCGGTGCGGGTTTCTGGGGGTGCTCCACATGGAGGTAGTGAAGGCGCCGGGTCGCTCCGTCGCGATGTCAGACAGAAGCGGACTTAGTTTGAACCGACGTTCATATCCCTTTTGCTAGGACTGATGAAGGGGTTCCTATTGCAAATTTGGGGCCTGGTGTCCAGCTTTGAGCCGAAAAAATGAGGATGTCACTTCGTCGAAAGGTTCCTACCCTGGTCTTGATCATGAACCTGGCTGTAGACAAATGGGGTTTCATTTTCGGGAAACCATCAGACAATTTGAGGTTCTTACTTGGCTTAAAGTCTTGAGGTGTTGTGGTGAGAGGCCAGCTATCAGGCATGACTCCTTCGCGCAAGGTGACAACTTGGTGGTCCGATTTGTTTGGGGAAGTCTATTCTCGGGTCTCCTCCAAAACTATGTCTTATTTTAGTAGGATAGACTAAAAATGGAACGGAGTCAGAAAGTGTGTTTTTCTGTGAACCCCGATGGCCAAGACTGCCAAGATTTGCAGGATCGGCTGGAAAGAGAGTACGACTTGGAGCTCGTGGTGACTGCTCCTTCTGTGCCTCGGACAGCCACGTGTCAGGGGTTTGGGGAATGAATCGACAAATCAAACGTGGCTTCCGGGGTGTCCGGAGGCCACGAGTTTGATCCTGGACACGTTGCATCCCAGATCGTCGTCCCGTAGCGAGTAAGATCTCCATTTGCTTATCCATAGAATAAACCATGGCTGACACGTGACCATCTAACGTGACCATCTAACCAAACAAGACATTGGCAAGACACTCACCTGTGTCCCTTGATTTGGACAGGTCACTCTGGACTGAACAGGTCAGGGAGTCGCCTCCAGAGCGGCTACAGCTGAATTATTACTAATATGTCACCCCCATAATGACTAAATTTAGTTTTTAGTACCAGAAAGTCCAATTCTTATTATTTGGGCAGTATACAGCTTCAGGACAGTCTTTTGGTTGTCCAACCAACACTGGAGTTGGAGTGCTGCCCTCGTTTACACCACCAGCATGGAAGGGTACAGGCTTCTTTTTCCAGAAGGAAGGTAATTGGCCCAGAACGGGTCTTTGCAATTCCATGTTGGTTTGTAAGTCCCATTTTGTTTGGTTTGTTGGGAGGGCAAGTTGTTTTTGCCGAGGTGGAGTACGAGATCCTGATGAAGGATGGCACTACGGAGACCATCCAGCTCCTTCGATTCAGACCAACGGCTGAGTTTCAAACATGAAGGGCGGTCCCGATGGTCACATGAGTCAAGAGTTGAAGGGACCCTTCCAAATTGCTGACCACCAGATGCTTAAGCCCGAATTAAATGGTTGATAAACCGCAATGCAACTGGTCGCTTGGGCGGAATTGGACTCAGGTTCGCGAACCAGCTGCCGTTGCCCCACAAGGTGGCGGAGATCCGAGAGCCCTACGTCCTGCGCCTCCGAAAAAGAAAAATGCGACGGTCTCGTTTTCGGGGAAGCAAAACAAGACTCTTCCATTTTTCTGGCAAGACTGGTTTATTGTTTGCCCCTGTCGGTTTTACCCATCAGGAGAGTAATCTTTTCATTTGCCTGTTTTTTGTTCACAGAGAATGGCCGAAGGCCCCCCCCCCCCTCCCCTCGGCTTTCCGTTTGGGCTAACAATGCGTCAATTTGGGCCGCCCCCTGGCACCAGGATTTGTTGGTGTGTGGTTTGGTTTGCAGGGCATGAGGTGCGTCAATTCAAAGTAGTTTCACGTGATTTGTCATGGAACCCAAGAGACCATCATGCTTATGGGAATCTCTTTTGGGAAATTCATGCCCTTTTTGGAGATCCTTCTGTTGATTTGCAATATATTGGTTGTTCCTCCAGGCACATGATGGTTTACCCCGATTCCCCCCCCCTTTTGGGCGTCGTTCTGTTCATTTGGCTATGATGTTTAATGGGGGACCCTACGAGACCCTTTGGTGGACGTCTCTTTGTTGGGGATTCTTGTCCACCAACCACTGAGATATAATTTACATGAAATTCACCAACATGTCTGCTTTTGCAGACACCCCCCGCCCCAAAAAAAGAGAAAGAAAGAAAAAGAGTAAAGCTTTGAGAACCCATCAACCTATCACCACCTTGGACCAGGCTATTTCCGCTTCGGGGAGAACATCTCGGCTCGGTGGATCCACGTTGGGCGGACACGGAAACGGATCGAACGATCGAGACACCGAGGCTGGAGATGATCGTGCCGGAGGAGCACATGGGCGCCTGCATGGAGCTCGCCGTCCAGCGCCGCGCGGTCTACAGGCGCGGTTGGGACCATGGCCAGTTGACGGGGAGGAGATGAGGGGTGTGGTTGGGGTTGGGGGGGGTGGAGTTGGGGTTGGGGGGGGTGGAGTTGGGGTTGGGATTGGGTGGGGTGGGGGTGGTGGTGGGGTGTGTGGTGGGTGGGGTTGGGGTGTGGGGTGGGTGGGGTTGGGGTGGGGTTGGGGTTGGGGTGGGTGAAAATTAAATAGCTGCGGAGGCAGACATAAATTTATTGAATCAATATTTCTCCAAGGAATTGTTCAAGTGACATGCTGGTTCAAGTGGTTCATGCTTCTTCAATGCAATCATCAATAGGGATCCATTTTGGTGAGTGCCAATAACGGTCATTCGAAATGTTCTCCGCCAGGACGATGAAAACGCATGAACAATTTTGGGTATTATATGCTAACCATTGCCGAGTTGGAGCCGCATGGAGCCGCCAACCAACGCGAATTCGAGGTGGCAAGTGCCGAAAGCACAAAACAATGAAAACGTTCACCCGGTGCACCCCAGCAAAATAACTAACTATAAAAAACCTCACACGGTGTCCCTGAAGGGAGGTTTCAGGGACTCCGGCAATGCACTTGTATTGAGCTATTGCACAGTTGCAATCGCTGAGCTGGAGCCGCCAAACCAACGCGTACCCTGTGCGCCACACTTTGTTTAAAAGGCAGCGGTTTTGAGGCTGAAAGTGCAGACAGCACAACGCGATTACGCGATGAACACGTGAAGCAAACACGATAACACCAGAAAGTAACAAACCACAACAGCACAGAGGGGTTAAGGCAGCGATTTCGAGGCTGAAAATTCAGAAAGCACAACGCGATGAACACGTGAAGCAAACACGATAACACCAGAAAGTAACAAACAACAACAGCACAGAGGGGTTTATACAACCTCACACAGTTATGAAGGGCTAGGGAGTTGACAATCTAAATGCGGAGCGCTGGACGCTGGAGTGGAAGGAACTGTCGAGGCCCAGCAAGATCAGCTGGGGCTCGCTGTTCTTCCCTGAGCGGCTGGGGTGGGGGGCGGAGCGGGGTGGGGTTGCGGGGTGGTGGGGCGGGGTGGGGTTGCGGGGGGTGGGGCTGGGGCGGGGTGGCGCAATGGCTATGTATGGTACAACTAAGAAAGGCCTTGAGCCCAATTGGATGTGGTGCAATGCGAGGCCAAAGCAAACACAAAGCAGACACAAATTTATTTTGACCGCCCACACGTGTCAACAAAAATACTGGCTTGGCCTTTTTTGCCGTAGCCGATTCATAAGATCACTTTGTGACGTGCTCGGATGTTTTGCAAATGGGAAAGTAAATGCAAGCGCAACGCATGTTGACATTGAATTCGCACGCATGATTGGGAACCAAAAGGGACACCGAATCGTGTCTTTTGACTGATGCTTGCTGAAAGCGGAGGACAGCATTGTCCTTATGAAACTATCGATTCTATATCGATGCTCTCACTTTCTCCACGTTTGGTATTTCTATTGTTTGTGCATCACTAGGGAGGTAAACCTGCGCATTCTGATCCCGAGGGTTTCTTTGGAAGGAGGAACCATAATTTGGTAAATTGCCCCCAGAATCGGATGCAAGCGATTGGCGGGTTGTCAAACATAGTGACCGTGCGTGGCGGTCTCCTTCAAAGGTGGTTGTCCAAAGCACCAACAACCTGGGTGGTGTTTAATTGTTCTTGCCGTTTCTCTTTGACTGCAACCCAAACATAGTGTACTCTCAGAACAGGCACACCGCAAATATGTCACCTTTTGCCGGGGTACCAACTTCCAAGCAAGCACATCTATACCGATACCCATATATGTATATATACATGCGCCATCTTTTCGACTGGGTCCCAGTAGCAGTGGGTCGGAGCCCATGTTTGACAACCCTCCTTCGGGGTTCATTCCGGATTCGTTGCAACCATCCACTTCAAACAGCCGACAAAAGGCACCCAACAGCAAACCAAAAAAAAGCTCCCAAAAGGCAAGCCAAACGATGCCAAGGACCACCAGCTTCCTCACCAAGGGCCGTTGTCTGCTGGAGTACGAGCCCCTCGAAATCGAGAGTTCGGAAGCGATCGAAGCTGGGTGTAGTGGACAAATCCGTGGTGGGGATGGCTGAAATCCTGTCAAGAGAAAACCGCCTACCAACCGGCGCGGGATGTTGTCCATGCATGTCAAAACAGGTTGGACCATTTGGGGTTGGCAAGGGTCGACCAAATCAAGGGACACCGGCATGAAGCTAAGAGGCTTTATCTATAAGCCAACATGAGCCAGTTTTGTTCAGGGTAGTCACCTCTAGATAGCATTCAAGGGCCAGGGCCAGGGTCCTCCCTGATTTTGTGGAATGCCCCGTATTTGTCGAGGCTTGGTGGAACAGGGGTTTATCAGGAGGAATTTGTCGTAGCCTCTGAATTGAATGCGTGCTTTCGGGCCACTGAGTAATCCGCCCCTTGAGATTGGGTAGCCCGCCCTTTTAGAGGCGTTTCCGAGCACCGAGGGCTTGCACAAAGCAGATTGTGGTTTGAAAGCGTTGGGTAAATGAAGTTGATATTGACAAGAGACTCGACAATGCTCAGTCTGGCCGGATTGACTCATCTCAAATGAGTTTCTGGCACCATGTAGCTTCTTGACTTTTTGCACAGCGAAATATTAAGCTGTGCGTGGTGCTGCGGTTTGACATCATCCCATCTGTCAAAGAGCTGCAACTACTCCAATGGTTGGTTTCATCCTTCAGAAAAGGTGCAGTATGTCAACAAGGTCTCCAGTGAGACATTGGAATGAGTGGTCAGCAGGCCGGCACTTTGCACCCAAAAGGTTTTGGTGGATTCGTAGCAAATCGGAACTCTACGAGCAAATGAGCAGGGGGGGGTACTTTTTTTCCCGCCAAGAAACAAGCAAACGATGCTTGGCGTGGTTGGGACGAGCAAATGAGCAGGCTGTGGCTTTTACAGAACAAAACAACAAGCAAACGCGCAAACGGGAGGTTGCCCATACGCAAAACCAGGACCGTTCACTCGAATCTGCGCTCCGATCGGAAGTCCAATTGAATCTCTGAGGATGCCGATGGCCGAGATGATCCGGGACTTCTTTGCGGAGCCCTGGTATGGTGGTGGTGGGAAAAAAACCACAAATAGGGGGGTTACGGGTGATTCCCCAACTACAAGAGTTTTCCTGTTGGTTTCCACTTAAACCAGGGGTCACTGTATTTCCCCAAATGAAAAGCTGATCAATGTACTAGTGAAAACCCCACTGAAACGATCGCCACTTTTAAGGCTGCAAGGAGCGAAATAGAGGAAACCCTGGTTTAGGTTGCCACTGCTGGTGATGATTTCTGTCGATGATGATATGGGAGAGCCTGGTATGCAGCGTACCCTGCGGTGGGTACCATCCTTTTGTCCAGTTGTGTTTTGTTTGTTTCTTCTTCTTTTTTTTCCGGCGTGGGGTTACTTTGAAGTGTCAATCCAGAACAGATGTGCCTAGTTCTTATGGGAGATGGGGCAAGGCTTTAAGACCACTCTTCTCTCTGGATGGCGCAGATGTGTGCTTCGGAACTGCTTTGAATGCTTGGGCGGCTGCTTTCCGTTTGGGCCAAAGACACACGGGTGATCGACAGCTTCAGCTTTGAAGGGTCCTGGGTAGGGGAATGATTGTCTTGTGCACCAACAGGCATCACAGGCTTTAGATTAGAGAATGGGCGGCTGTGAACCAAGCGATTGTCCCTGCCAAGGCCAATCCAGCGAGAGAGAGAGAGAGAGAGGGAGAGAGAAAGAAATGATCGTGTCCAAAGCTAGCAACGTGCCCAAACCTTTGCATAACCTTACAGCCTCCTTTGGTCCAAGCGGTTTTGCAAGGCCTGCTGAAAGCGGAGCACGATTCTCAGCAGATTTGTTCTTGTCCAAGACTGGACATGTGGGCAAGCGAGAATCCCCCAAGTCAGACCCAGAGACCAAAGGGCCTGCCGCCAGCCTGCTCCTAAGTAAATCTGAACTGTTTAAGGCTGGGTTCCAGGTTCCTTGCCGACGCTTCACACAGATTTTTCCTTGGGTGCAAGCACCGTGTTCATCGTCTCCTGATGTGCTGGGGCCACAAACAAGCCAGTGGAGTTTGCTGAGGAGCTGAAAAGCCGTTCGCGCGGCTATGCTTCGATGGATTACCGCCTGCTAGATTACCGGCTGCCTGGCTGCAACTTGCACGGGTCTTCGCCCTGGAACCGTGCGGTGTGGCCCGGTTTCAAGCAGCGTCCCATGTTAACCTCTCGCAAAGATGTCTTTGGGGGTGTATTTGAAGATTATCCTTCATGGGGTTTCTGGGGGTATTTTTTCCAGGGCTGTGATGTTTGACCTGGGAAACCCGAAAGGCGAAAGGTTCGGTCGGTGTCTGTCCATCGATGCGCTTTGGCTTACATTAAGCTTTGGGTTTGAGCTCCGGTGACCAGCAAGGATGCCCATTTGATGCACAATTCTTGAGTGGGGGGGCATGCCTCAGAGGACCCCCCCCCCTGTTTGGAGTCCACTGTATGTCTGTTCCTGCTTATTGTTGTTTTTCCGCGAAAAATGTCATGCTGAATCAGCATCGAAAAGGTCGGCATCATCCCATTCAATCTGAACATACTATGAGAAACCATTGTTTGTTGTTATTTGCAGGGGAATTATCTTTCCAGAGTTTATTAGGGGGCATGATGTTGTCATCCACAGTATGGTTCCACAAACTAGTGGCCCCGACTTTTGAGGGACGCGCACAGAGCTATTCACATCCATGTTCGTTGCAAGCAAGGTATGCTTGCCAGCACCCTCCAACGACTGCCGTTGCCCATGTGTGAGTGCCTGCCTTTATTTGCCGAAGACTGCAATCAAGTCCGGGCGGAAACAGTTGGTTGTGGAAAGATACTGAATTAGGACGAGGTCACAGGCACATGTGGCGTTGGCAAATGAGGTGAATGAGTCCAAACAGGCTCAGGAGTGGAAATCGAGGAGGGAACATCTGACCGTTCAAGCGTGTAGCAAATATCTTCCGTAGCTTTGTATCCTGAACCCCCAAGTCCTTTCCAAAGAACTTCCGTCCTCGCGGGGTGGTGGGGAACCCGCTGGACAGTAAAGCCGTCATTGGATGGGAACCAACCACCTGGGCGCAGAAAACACCTCAGCCTTCGGCAGGGTCAACGACTTGGTGAAGTTGGAGGCGTGGCTCTCAGTCTCGGCGATGGGGCGAAATGGAGGTGTTTACCCTTCCTCCTAAAGTAGCACTTGTTTGCATGGCACCTGGAAGATCAAATTCCTCTAGGAACCCTGTTGGCCATGCTAGTGGAAGGGAACGAGGGAACTGCCAAGAACAACTTCCACCATTGTGATAGAACCAAAGGCACGTGGGTGCTGCTCCGGCTGCTTTTCTGGCCATCAAAGTTCACCGTGGTGCCATTTGGTAGTCATCATGCTCAGACGTGTTGCTCAGTTGCTCAGCCCAACATGCATCCAGCTGTTCAGCCTTTTGGTTCGGTCCTTCTGGTTCGAAGCTGGGCAAGTGAGGCGCAACTCAGACATTGGGTAGGGCGAGGTTCTGTGCAACACACCCGTCAAGTAAGTACTCAAGTAGCCACAGGACTGGCGGTCTTCGGTGTGTGATGTTACGGAAACAGATGGCTTTGCCATTAAGCCTAAAATAGATTAGACCTGCTCAAAGAAGGAACAACCCAGACAGGAGGCGTTATTTCCCACATGGCGGGGTGTGTGTGTTTTTTTGGTGAATGGTATCATACATGTTTGTCTGGTTTTACCAACAAATCGAAAGGAACACCGAAGACATTTTGCGGGGTACGATTCCAAAGAAACGACACATGGCCACTTGGGGGTGTCAGGTGGACATCAACAAGACCACGGCCAACCCTTTGGCGCAGATCGTGCACCGCAGCCGCGCCCTGCAATTCGCAAGGCGCAGATTGGGCGGGGTGTGCAGGGTGGGGGGAGTTGAATGGCCCCAGCTGTAACAGCCTCTTACCAGGATCTTGTGAATTTCTACATGGTGAAGGTTTTGCCAAACACGGACCTGAGCATACCTGAGCCGTTTGTTGGTGACGCGGATTTGAATCAGAGCTTTTCTGGCTGTACTTCTCGTTCTGCACAGGGTTGCATTTCTCGGAGGAATCACCAAAGTATGAGCAGCAACAGAATGGTGCGCCCGATGCGTTGACTTGAGCAACAGATGCACCAGCTCACTTGTCCAAGCCGACATGCTGGCCATTTAGTCTTCCAAGTTTGATTCATGTGGTGTCACAGTCCCAAAAGGTCAACCCTCTACTTCCCCTCTTCAGGAACATGCACCAAAGGCTGTTATTATTATAATTGTTGTAATGGGAAGCCAGGCAAGCTTACCGTTCAGGCACTTCACTAAATTTCAACCAAGAACCAGGAGACTCAGCCAAGTTTTTGTTTGTTCGGAGAACAAGTAATTTTGAACCTGCCTCGTGTGCCTCATGTCCAGTTCATGTAAGTGTCATGTCCAAGCTGGGTGGCTTTCCAAACTGCCAGTTCTTCGAAGTCCGTAGGTTTGACGCATCCTGGGAAAGAGTGGACGGTGCCTGTGCTTTTGGCATCTTTTGGCTGCCAGGAAGATCGCCCTGATCCTCAAGAACGAGATCCCAGCCCAGCAGATCAAGGTGATCATCCAAGCGCGGATCGGTGCCATGCCTTTGATACAACCTCCAGCCAGCCCTGAGTGGTTGTGTTAGGGTCCTCGGAATCCACCAAGATGGGCCAGAACGACAAAGCCCACAACCAGGTCGTGGGAACATCGGCAAGTTGGCTTTGTTTTTGCGGCTTCGGAGTCCCCTCAGAGCGACATGTTTGTTCTCTCACGGTGGCTTGCAGAGTTGGCAATGAGAAAGGCAGCCTCTTACCTCCAACCACAGACCTTCGGGCCAGTTCCCCAAGGTGCCTCGCACGCGTTTCTCTCCGTAATGTTGTTCACTTTTAAAGCCTCCGGAACGTTTCGTGGCCTCTGGTCAAGGCTCGTGTATTTGCAAAGGTGCAGGAATCCTGGCTTGCTGGCCTTTGCACATAGAAACACTGGGCAACCACTTCCATTTTTCGGATTTGCGATTTTCGCACATTGCAACCCCGGCGCCTCCCTCACTGTTTCTGCTGCTAGCCGTTGGTTGGAAGGGAGCTAAGGAGCTGGGGTTTAAGCAGGGAGCCTTTCAAAGCTACCAGGAGCTTCCCTCCCCCCCCCCCCGCCCCCTCCACTCCCCCCCCAGTGTTTGCTGGAAGCGTTGCGAGGCACACACATTATCGCCTCGGAGTCTGTCAAGGCGGTGCGAAAAGACGTCTTGGCCAAGTGCTATGGCGGTGACATCTCCCGCTGCTTTGGCGCAATCAAAGCGCTCGGTTCTTGATGTGTCAAATGCAGGGAGGGGGTGGGGTGGCCGAAAGCAGGGAAACCAACATGGGACACTCATGGGAAAGCACATCCACAGTTTGCTGCTCGATTTCGATTGGGGAGGTTGTCACAGGTACCACAGCTTTGCAACGTGAATGTGTATGTGGGTGTTTGTCTCAATGCCGCCAACTGCATGGTAACGCCCCGTAGTGAAAGCATTGAGCACACTCACCAAAGACTATTCATTGGAAGCTGGGGTTTACCAAAACCAAATGTCGCTGAGAGACCCAATGAGTTGAATGATGACCATGGATCACAATGTGATCTGACATACAAGCTTGCCTGAATTAAACATTGCACATTGCATGCCAATAAGGGAGCCTATTCTGACAAATTGCAATCGTTAGTAATGTTGACGTGTGTGGATCTTGTGCATGCAGTGCATGATGGTATTTGGCCATCACTCACTGCCGAACTCCCGAGATGCCAACATGATGAAGCCCCGCTCCCGTCCCCACCACACGTGTTTCACATGTTCAGCAATTCGAGGCAAGAAGAAGCTGCTGCAAAAGCAGGCTGCGGGCAAGAAGAAGATGCAGGCCATCGGCAAGGTGAACGTGCCCTCTGCAGCTCGGAAAGTAGTTTGAAGCGAGAGACCCCCGTGCAGGTTCCTCTTTGAATGTGACTTAGTCTGATTGGTTGAGGGTCCACTGCCGGCTACCAGCCGTTGGTAAAGTGTTTGGTCTTTTTTGAGGGCCCCTGTGGGAAGCAAAATACATCCCGTTGGGGCAGTGATAAGAACCGCGTCAGTTGATTCCATCACAGCAACTGTCCAATGTCGTTCTCCCAGCCATTGACAGCTGATTGTGTTGATGATGTACGATTTGTGCACCTGCCACTTTGCTGAGGAAGCGATCCTGGCAGCCGCTTGACCCGCAGTGATTCGCAACAGTTAGGGGTGCTGCACATCTGGATATGTGTTTTTTGAGGGTACCCTTGTTTGGTTTGGCTTACTGAGAACCCAGAAGGCCATGTGCCAACGTTTACCAATTCGCAATTTTCTCCGGAAGACAGGCTGCCAAAGTGCAGAGCAGTGGCCAGTCGGCCTGGCTCTGCCAATTTTCTGGGTTTCGAGCTTGCCCATAAGGACAATCACAATGTTTTAGGTCTCCCTGTTTTGACACGTACCTCATGCGAATGTTTTGCCATTGCTTGTTTTGTAGAACCGACTCATGTTCCAAAAGCGCCCAACGGTCCTTCAGCCCAAGCACGTGGCTTCCATCTGAGGTGATCAAGCAGAGCTAGAGCCTGACGCGGGCCGGCTCAATTGTTTGACGCCTCAGCCACAATGGCCGGATCAAATGGTTTTTGGGTTGAGACCAGAAGAAATTGGAATTGAGGATAAGTTGAGACCATTGGCCGGAGGAGAATGAGTTGAAACTTCCAGAAACTGGCTTGTGCTTTGGTTTGAGACCCGTGGCCACTCAAAAACCCAGCCTCGGTTCGTATCATTGTAGGTGTGTGTGTGTGTGTGTGTATGTGTCACAAAGCCTACTGGCTTGAAGCCAAGGGAGGATTGAAAAGGGATGGACGCCATAGGCGGGTGATGTGTGAACTTCGAGTTTTATCCTGAAGCGAAGCTTGTCGCAGACATGCTGCAAGTCTTGGCCATGCTTAGACGCCCGGTGCGTTGCCCAGACATGCCAGGCTGAGAGCAGGGTTCTTTCTGTTCTGATCCCCATTTTGCCAGGCACGAATCCTGAAATGCAGTACCATGAGAATTTTAAGGACCCCATTGAGGGACTTGGCAGTCAACCCAAGAAGGAAGCTTTTCAAGATGCTTTCCTATCAAAATAAGGAGTGCGTACCAGTCAAGTTTGTGAGATTCGAGGTTCATGGGCGAATGTCCCAACGTCCTACATATAGAGTCATAGAGGCATTTCTCTGTTTGGGTTTGCATGACTGCCTAATGCGTCAGGTAATGCTCAACCAAGTCTTCAGTATTATTTAAGAACCAACGGTGGGGAATGCGCTGGGTTTCTTGTACTTTGCTTTGCTGGAATCAATTATGGGTGTTCACCCATGAAGGTTATGTTCCTCCTTGTTTTCGCTGTGGGAGGTACGAAGTTGCTTTGATTCATTGAGGGGTCTTCTTTCTTGAAGCCGACACATGTTTCCATAATGTGTGCTCACTGCTTTGTGCATGCAAATACATGCCAAACACCGTTCCTTTCAATTGTTTGGCATCCCAGCTTAGCTTTGCGTTTTGCCTGGCCCCAAAAGGCCAGAAAAATAGTGACTGAACCTGCACTTTTTGAGCCTTCGCAACCCTGAGTTGAAAAAGACGTGATTCCCACACCGGTGTAAGTCTCCGATCCTTTCTCAGATCTTCGCATGTTTTTCTACTTGATGGTTCCGGGACCCTGGCTGAAACGGGATGAATTGATTCCTCCCATGGCTCCTTGTGGTTTGCGCAGGGCAAACCTCATGGACCCCTAAAATTAGTTGTATTCTTGGCTCCCTGTCCAACCTCCCAAACGGTTGCCTAGATTCCTAGATTAGTCGACTCGAAATCATCGAATCAGTTCGATGGCATGGCTGCGCTATGGAGGCAACTACTGCCATCCCTGCACAGAAGGGTGTGGGCAAATTTGATTCGAACAAGCAGACCTCTTCAAACAGACACCAAAAGGAGATTATGCTGTTGACAGTGGTTAGGAAACCACGTGCGGATGAACCTGTTTATTTCCGAAGCCCTTGACTAAACTTCGGTACTGGAAGCCGGATCCTTGGAGCAGACCGTGCTCCGATAATGTCTTTCTCCCCCGACGGTTGAGGCCCAGTTGAGGCCTTGAGCGGACGGGAGGGCCGATTTTCTGTTTCCTCTCGGCAGGGAAAAAGGCGGCTTTTGTAAGGTGAACAACGCCTCACAAGCCTTGTGTTCTTGAGTGGGTCATTGGAAGCGGCGAACATGAGATCATGGTTGCACTGGTTGCTGCTGATTAGTACCCCCTCCCCCCAAGGTCGTCAAGGTTCAGCAAACAAGAAGGAAACACACAGCTCTTTAATTGCTGTCCTCTTTGATCCTCTGTGGTCCTCTTTGGTCCTTTCCGGTTTTATTTTTCCAGTGGGGGACTGGCCTTGAAGGGGGTTTGGGAGCTTAGCAATGATTTTGCTCCTTCTCCTGGGTAGCTACTGTTTTGGATATTTGTTATGGCAATCCATGCAACTCTGAAGCAAAGTAACACTGGGAAAAATGTTCGCAATAGCCTTAGACTTGTTTTGGCTATGTTCTGGATTTTCTGGTTAGCACTAGTCGGAGGGGGCTATTTATGGATGAACAAAATAAATACGGTGACTAATTTTTCCAGCCTTTCCTGAAATGGAAACTAGTCTTGGTGACGGGATTCAAGGGGCAGCGGGTTACCATGTATCTGAGAGGGATTACTACTCAGGTCCCAACATTACCCCCCCCCCCCGCAGAAAGACTGGCTTTGGAGTCTGCTTGGATTAGGCTGCGTGCATGTGCTGGCTGTTTGCGCAGTGAGAGAGACAGAGAGGAGGGATTGGACAGATATAATAATGGAGAGAAAGCAAGAAGAGAGAGCAGGGAATGCGAAGGGAGCAAAGAGAGACATATGCGGCTAGTTTGTTGGGAGCATTTGCTGACCACCAGTGCCAAGCTGAACATTGCAACAAAGCTGCGCGCATGGTGCATGCCGCGCGCATTGGTGCATGCAAAGATGCACCGAAAAGCCCAAGCCACTAGAACAAGATGCAAGCAACAGACAAAGTTGCCCGGGCATTGGTTCTGGGTCGGCCCTATCGGTTTTGCAGGTTGGCAGCCTGGGGCTGGGCACAGAAGCGGCCTTGGGGGCCGAGGCGAATATTGGTGTAAACCAGGCGTCAGAGGGACAGTTTCTTGTCTGGCTCCAGCCAAGGGAGGAAGAGCGGACGGGGAGGTTGTGGCGGTTGCTTTTTCATCATGGCGGAGGAGGTTGAACCAGATGATGCCATGAAGGCCGGACGAACAGCGCCGAAGCAAGGAATTGTGATTTTCAGGGGTGACCTGTTCTTGGAAACCTACATATACGTATATTTACATATTATATATATATATATACGCTCTATCCGCTCACTTACTTGCCAACCTGGAAATCAGCAGTTCCTTAAAGGCATTCCCAGCTAGCATGGGCTCGTTGTGTTTCTTTTTGAGCGCGGCTGTCGCAAGCTATGATCACAGCACTCACTGCATTCAAGGAAACCGGGTATGTTTCCCAAGTTGCATTACGAAATAGGGGTGCTCACCAGAACTCGGTGTTCTTCGGGTCACAATGGACAGCACCCATGGCCATGGCTCGCGCCAAATTTGGAAGAGGGAGGTGGCCAAAGGAGAGTCGCAAAACAAAAAGAATGCCAGACTCATGCGGTTCTTTTTCTACCCGGTTGATGTTGATTAGTGCTGACGTCCAATGATGACTTAGTTGCCAAACAGGAGCTCGCACGGTGAAAGCCTCCTGCTCGTGTGCAGTGATGATCATGTGGTTGCTTCTTTGGATTGAACCCGGGCCCTCTGGTTTGCAAGCGGAAACCAACAGGAAATATCCCACCCCTCCCCGAAAGGGGGGTCCCTGAATTTGAGACGAACCCATTTCGTTTGCCAGCTTCCGTGGGAGCCGTGGGAGGTTGCCATATGCGCACTAATGTCCGCAGTCATTTGGGCCAATTGCTGGGACTCCAGGACACCCCTGAGCAACAAAGTAGTCATTGGAATCAACAGCCTTGATAAAACAGGGTTATAGTTCGCAACCAAGACCTTTGATCAGGTACTGTAAGCCTTTGGTGGAATGGATTGGCGGTTTGGGGATGTGAATTTAGTCAGCGGAAAATATCTTCTAGACGAGATCAATTGCGATGCTGCTGTCCAACAACCTCGACATGCGTGCAAAAGTAAACCCCAGTTCCTTTTGAAGCCAAATGGGAAGCTACCCATGGAGGGTTGAAGCCACGCCAAGTCTCCACAGGAACTCATGGACGCCGGCGATGACCTCGAAGAGTGCCTCGAAGACGAGGACGCGGCGGACGAGGAGTTGGCGGCCGAGAACGACGGCGAGGCGAGGAACTGGGCTTTTGGGCGGCCTGGTCTCAGTGGGGATGCAGATTCCCAACAATGGCGGGGTTCGATTTGTTGCTGTACAACCAACCAAAAAGTGATTCCCCCTCCCGGCCCCTCCCCCCAAGGAAAAGGGGCTTAAGGACCCACCAAAGCAGCTTGTGAGGATGTACGTTGACTCATGTTGGCCCCTCGAGTACATCACAAGGTGCTTGGACCCCTTTTGTTAATCAATTTTGTCCAAAATAGGAATTCCTTGGTGGTGTTTCAAGGGAAGCCCCCACAAGGAACGCTTGCCTCATTGCTTCAGCTTCCACAACACCAAAAAAGAAGAGATGTTTCCTGATAGTTGTCCAAGCAAAGGGCGAGTTGGGGCTGGCTTGCTGACTAGGTGCGAGAGGAACGGATCCCGTCCACTCCCTCTTTGAAGATGGCCACCCCGAGTCACGATTCGGAGAAGATGCTTTCAACCTCCATCAGTTTTGTGGGACTTGAGCAGTCTAACAAATAACAAAGTCCCCTTGTAGTGTATACACTTCATCATCAATCCTATGTGGAGTGTTGGCTTTGGTCAGAAAACAACACTTCGTCACATTGAGTGATTGGTGGACATGGCCTTTTGCCCAGAATCAACGTACCTCAGACGACAGTCAGTTAGTATACATTCCTTCATGGCCAACAGTACGAGCCGATTGTTTTGAGTATCTCCATCTGAAGCCCGAACAAGAAGCGACCGTGGTTCAAACATTAACGGCAAAAGCGCAGCTTCCAAGTTTGAGGCGCGAGGTGACAGTTTGCTTCCAGGCCTTTTCCTCTCCCGCCTTGACTCAAAAGAGTGTTTTCCCAAGCCAAAACCTGCGTTTTGACCATCCCAAACTTGAGACGACCAGTTGATGCTAATAATTTAATGAGTCTCTGCGGTTCCCTTGTGAGGACGGGCAACAAATCTTGCCAGGAGGGAATGGAGATGTGCCGCCCCAGAGACGATGGCGAGGAGGCAGCAAGTCATGTGAGTGCCAACTTGCCGTTGTGTTGCTCGGTTCGACCTCGAACTCCACACTCTTTGAAACTTGTTTGTTGAAGCAAAGGGACGAGCGTTGGTCCCCTGGCAAAAAAGACATAGCTTGTTGCACGGTTTTCGGGGCGGGGGTTGAAGAGGCAGCCAGGAAGCCACAGCAATGGCCAACGTGTTTGGAAGCTTCATGCGGGCGTGCGTCTTTTTTTGGGGGACCCTTGATGGAGTGGTAAGGAAAGCGAAAGTATTGGGGACGACGCGTGAAGGTTCACATGGACTGCTCGTTTTGGATCCGGCCCATTCACAGCATCTCAGGCCTTGCAACTGGATCATCAGCTGGACGAAGGCGCCTGAAAAGCTCCGTACGGGGACTCCACGCTCCTCCATCCACTTGTTGGACATAAAACAAATGCCCATATGGGTTTGTCCTTTCAAAAAAACCAAGGTGGGTTCCTCAAGTGGTGTCCCTTTAAACCACAACCCCAAAGGGCACCCTCAAAAGAAGACACCCATATCTTATTGGAAGACGAATTGAAAGACGAAATAAGATGAAATGCTCGGTGTCAATAGTTCAGGCCCAAAGACTTGCGAAATGAGACCTGTTGATTGTTCGTCTTGTGTTTTTGCAGTGGTCCATATGATTTATTCCCTCTAAACGTTCCCTTTTTGGTAGCCATGTGAGGGAAAGTATAAGGAGCCACGTTTCCCTTCGTGGCCTTTCAGTCGCCATCCTTTGCATCGGCCATTGCCTGATAAGGTTTCGAAGCAATACTTGGCGCACGGTGCTACAACAACCCATGTTGCTTTTTTCCTGAAGCAAGCTGCAAAGCGGTTGATACCCGTCAAATTGTTTCAGACCTTTTAACACCCAGTTGGATGCCGGAGTTCATGATGTGGGATGCGAGTTGGGTGAGATGCCAAAGTGAGATGCCTCGATTGCAGCCAGAGATACCAAAGTTGTTTTGGCCCCTGAAAGCCAACTTCACCCTCCCACGCACAGCTGGATGTAGTCAGCCCCTCGGAAGCAAGTCAAGCGACACATGGGCGTCGCTTGTTTACGTTTAATCTCGGCAATTCTCGAGGAAAATCAAGCTTCAATGAAACAAACCGCAATCATGGTATTTGACAACAAAGGAAATACCAGCATGTTGCGTCATTCTGTCTTCACTCTCCCTCGCTACAATACAAGGAACACCGCTAAACGCAACCCGCCAGAAGGTGTCTTCAACAGCTCCATGGACTTCCTTTTGCGTGCCAAATGGCGGGTCTGGAAAAAAAGAGATTAATCTTCTTTCGGTTTGATTTATCGATCTAGCTGGTGGTGGGAAGGGAGCTGTTACAGCGCTGGGGTTTCGGAGCTACCGAAATGGAGTTCTGCAGAGGTTTTCCTCTGTCTTCCCTTTAACTCAGTTGCCCAAAGCCGACCTTTTGACCGTCATGGCCCCAAAGGTGATCACCTTTTGTTTCTGGTTCCTTTGGGCAAGTGAGGTAAACCGTGCAAAGAGTACCCTCCAAAATACACCCCCGTCGAATACCTTCTGACCCCGCCCATGTTGGAGGCAAGTTCCACGTGGGAGTGAGCTGGGTGCACCTCGATGGGCTCCATGGGACAAAGGAGAAGTACAACGGCATGCGACTCGGCCGTCCCAACGGATGTTATATGGCCATGGGTCATAACTCATAGCCTATGGCTCCATTTTGGGGCGGATGAACACCCATGATGTTCACCAGGGGCACGGGGTTTTGACCCACAGCCGTATGGGCCTGTCTTTTTTTTGGTGCCCCGTGTTTGGTGGTTTTACGGGGAAACCAAGGAAGAGGAACACCACCATTGTAGAATCAGACATCATTTTTCGGTCAGCTGGGGATGTGCGCGCAAGCCCCACTCTGCTTTTTGGCGATTGTGATTGAAGAGGACAAAGCCAACCATCCGGTTGACACCCCTTTCGAGCCAGCGCCCTTCGGACCCCCCCGGATAACGGAAGCGGTCGCGCTTGTGGCTCCTTGCTTTGTTTCGGGTGGGACTGCTTTGAGAAGAGTTTTGACTAGGACTCAAACGTTTCCTGTGCGGAACAGTAGCTGTTCATGGTTGATCGGCTTGCAAGATTTAGGGATTCCGATGTTGCTAGCTTCCTTGAAACGGACAGACCAGAAGCTGGCAGCAAAAACAGCACAGCGGATGGAGGAGCAAAGGCACAAGTAAGAACCACCGAGGCTATCGTGACCAAAGCTGATGGCAAGCAGCACCAGAACCAGAGCTACCAGCAATGGAACCCGCAACGGCAAAAACAATGGCAACAGCAGCAACAACACATGTCGACAGCTCGCCTCAGGAAGTGCCTGATCGTGCCAGGCTCCCAGCTGCAGTTGGCGCATCAGCGAAGTGGCACAAGTAGCTTTCCTGGAGATTTGAATGTGTAGCAAGGCAATATCTGCGAGTTTCTGCGTACTTCCGCTCCTTTTACATCACAGGGAAATGAGCTTTTGGTGTCTAGAACCGTCAAGGACCATCGTTGTCCAGCAGCTGCAGCCTTTTGCTGCTGAAACTTAGGTCCTTCGGGGTGAGGCACCCGTCCCTAGTGAAAGTGCGGGGCGTTGAGAAGAACGAGGCGCCGAAAGACGTGGCTTCATGGCTCACCCGAGGGATAGCGCTGGCAGTTTGGGCGGCGAAGGGTTGGCAACCCACGAACTCAGGAGGTTTCTCAAAATGGGTGTGTCTTTTTTGTGGTACCCCCAATTTTTGTGGTTTAAAGAGAACACAAAAGGACAACCGAAGCCATTCGCCGTTTGGGGTCCAACCTTAAAGAGACGAGGCACTCATAGATCGGGGTACCCTATGGTTTTCCTTTTTTGCGAATCCCAGTAAAGTAAATAATTACACCACAAAAGCAAGCATTTTGGAAGTCCACAATTTGGAGACCGCAAATCACTCAACAAGCCGTCATGCATTCTCATGGCCGTGTAAGTCTTTGTGTCCCCTGACGGGGTAGTTTGGTGAGATAACCCCATGTCCGTGGATGCTGAGCATTGCTCGACTGAATCCTTTTGAGCCGGGGTTTGGATCTCTCCAGACCTCAAACTGTCCGTCGCCAGGATGGCAAGTACATCGCCCTTTGGGTGAAGAGGATCAACTGCCGGAACACTGTGCACAAGGACGCGAGGATGTTTGGTGCGGAATGGGTTGGACCAAGACCCAGGAGGTACCGCGACGAGTGGATGCATCAATGGACCTGGTTGTTCAGAGGGCATCCCTGTTTTTTCCTTCTTTCCAGGCGGTTCCTCGCCAACAATGAATCAAACAATGGAATAAGATGTTTTGCCCAAGGCCATGGGGCAAGTGAGGCTAATTGACCCGCAGACATGAATCCCGCAGACAGGGAGGGTTGGGCGAAAGACAGGGTATCCTCGAGAAGCATAATGGCACGGTAATCATGAGGTGCGAATGCATCAATCCGCAGTGAATCCACAAAGCTTTCCCGAGACTCGCCTCCTTTTTCCCAATACCGCAGAACCTAACGTCACCCTTATTTGGTGATTTGGATTGGTGTTTTGGAACAAGGAAAGACACCCCCAACGTCCAAACTATCAACCACGATAGGCAGTAACACTGTCACGCCCAAGCGGTTTCCTTTTGTTTTCCGGGGAGCCCGATACCACTCACTTGTCAAGTTTCCATTTTTGAACCCAATGCGGCAGTTTCACTTGAACCTGCCGGTAAATCCAAACTGAGTGCCCTATGTTTTGCTTGTCTCTTCGTCGGCCGCGGAGAGGCTCCGATTCTTAAAGCCGGGCTGTGCGGTTTTCAAAGGAGGGCCATACCTTGTCACCCGGCCTGGAGATTTCCCCGAAAGTTGGATGTCACATCCATATTAATATGGCAAAAAAAAACTGTTTGAATATGGTTGCTACATCACTAAATGAGGGGCTTGTTGGTTTTCTGTACTACCTACAATGTATATATATATATGTGTATACTGTATATAATATAGATACATGCATACATACGTATGTACGTACGTACGTACATACATATGTGGGTAGGAGGGCTGAGGGTACCCAGGGAGGATTGAACATTCCGTGAGAGGACACTGGAGCTTGGAAGGCAACACCCAACCCGGAGAACACCGGCCGAGCACTCGGTGCTTGCGCGATTTGTTTGCGCTGGCTTCACCTTGTCGTGTCTAAGGATGTGTGCCTTTGTTGTGAGTTGGTGTCCTTGGGGTTGGTTTTTAATGGGAAACAACCCAAAATTGAGGGTTCCTCTATGTTTAGATAGACTCATATCTCGGACCATAGTGATGGTTCGGGACCGTTCGGGTCGACCTAGGTGGAACCCCCGGTAACCTTCCTGAGAGCCTTTTCTCAAATGTGTAAATATTCATATTATGCGCCATGATTATCTAATTGTATGTGTACTAAAGACGAGGACAAACTTCCAGTTTCGGGGTAGAGTCGGTGAACGGGTCCCTGCATTTCCAACGCCGTCGGGAATTGCAGGGCTAACATGTGGGTATAGTTGTGGAATGTTGTGGAAAGTTTGAGTATTTGCGACATCCGTGTGCATAATCTCCCGGACCATCTTGACACTTGAAACGATGTCCCTGGGGCAAAAGGCAACAGTTTTACTTTTCGAAACTTGCATGTGCTGCAGCTCTTCGATGGTTCAGGGGGAGCAATTAACTAAGATGGCCGAGTCCAATTCCGATTTTAGGAAACACATCAGCTGATGTTGTTCCTGTTATATTTTATAGGCCTCCTCTTTCCAATAGACAATTTGGACAGGAGGACTTTGGAAGGTGACCATCCTCTTGAAAAAGCCCTTTGTCCACTTCCAGAAACGTTGGAAAAGGGGTAAACCCTCTTTTGTTTGGGGGACTCCTTTTGAAGGTTCCTCTTTTTGGCTTCCATGTTTTGAAGGGAATACTCCCTTTGAGTAGGAACAACCCTCCAAACAGGCGCTCGCTTTGCTCTTGCATTTCCCTAAACCAACCCCAAAGTACGTACCGAGCCTCGAGAGACAAGACGCCCATCGTGTTGTTTGGTTTTCATGTTGGTTGTGGATTGTTTGTTTCTCCCAACAGCTGAAAGCTTTCGGGTCTCAGCCCAGATGGCCCCGGGGTGGTCCGGGGCGGCCCTGAGGTAGGGTTCCACGAGCATTCCACGAGGGTTCCACCAGGGTTCCACCAGGGCTCCACGGGGTTCTGCGAGGGCTGCGGGGTGGTGCGAGCACTCAAAAGAGCACTGCATGCTGTTGGGGATATCACCTGAGCTTATTTTCTTCCGATTTTATGGGGTAAAATCATTTGACCGGCAATTGATTTTTTTTTCCAAAACGGGTGCGGCCAGCGCCCGCTATTCCCAGGCGCCACGGGCGCGGCGCGCTGGGTGGCGCTGGGCCGGCCGGAGGTGGATGCCATGCAGGCGGATTCGGACCTTCTGCTTTTCTATTTAGGGGCGCGTCTTTCAAAATGGCTTCGGTTTTCCTGCTGGTCTCCCTTTGGAACCCCCCCAAAAAGGGGTGCCCGCAAAAATGACGCAACTCATTTGTCTATCTGGGCCGAGAAAGTCGAGGGGAACCCGAAAGTCGAGGGAAACCAACATTGGAACCAAACATGATGGGCGGGCCGATTGGTTTTTTGTGAGGAGCGGGCAACTTGCTTGGAGAGTTCCCCCTCTGGAGTGCTTGATTGGAGGGAGTTGGAAGATTGCCTTCCTTTTGAGGAAGTCTATCTATCTATTGTTGGCCAGAGGGTAAACCATTTGTTTACACGAATTGCGCACAACCTGGATAGCGTTCCCAGTCAAGTAGTAGTGGCCGGCAAGTCCTCCCTGAGTCTCCGGTGTTTTCCTGGTTCTGAAAACCGTCCACAAGGAAGGGAGAGCGGCCTTGTTTCATCATTGGTAGCTAAATTGACGGGTTGTCCTCCTTTGGCCCCAATAGGTGTCAAGAAAGGCGACTCTTCTGTGACATCGCTCGCAGCCCTAGCGAAACTGCAAAACTTGTTGAGAGTCTGAGGAGATTCGCTGGCATGAGTGGTTCGGGTTTGTTTTCCTGACTTGATTTGAGTGGTCCGCGACTCCGCGCGCCGGCCGCTGGTATAAGTGATAGCATTGATTTGGATTCAAGCACGTGGCGAACAATCGGATTATATGAGTTTGGGCGAGCTGCTAGACACTGGAATAATGGTATGATGCATGGTGCAAGGCATCGGCCCAGGTCGTGCATATCAATTGCCATGGAACGCCACAAGGGTTTCCGCCCAAGGGAGATGTGTCTGAAAGTTGAGGGTGTTAGGAGTCTATGCCCATCTTTCAGTTGAGTAGGCTCAGAGGTGGAGCCTGGAAATTGATGCCAGGTGCTTGAAACTTAGGATGGCAAGGGGAGGCTGAGCGATTTCCAGGCACATGACAGGGGTTGCTCCACCTGGGCGTGAGGATCATGCACGTTCACACGGTCCTCTTTCAAGGTACGTAAGCCCAAAACAATGTGGGAGTGTCGTTTTTTTTGAGGGGACCCAACAAATGGTCGGTTTCTCACTTATGTTCCTGAACTTTAAAGTTTTTGGGAAGACCATTTTAGCGGTGAAAAGAAAAGTTGGACTGTTTTGGGCCATGAGGTTTCCGTTGTTTCCTTTAAAGCCAAAAACACCGTGCACCTTCAAAAAAGACACCCATGTTTGCCTGAACATGTTTCAACAGGATTGGCTCAACTCTGTTGCCGAGAGAGACTTGTGCCAGGGCAAGCTCAAGTTTCAGAAGACAGAGGAGGACCGCGCTGCATTCGGCATTCTCAACTGTTGGACTGTTGTTCACCCGACATTTTGGACCGAGCTCTGTAGGGTTTGCTCTCCCTTCCAGGCAGTTGTCGTTTTCCTGGATTGCCTTTGTATGTTGAGGATGGCCCTTGGCTTTCATGTTGGGCTGGACGTCTTGGGAACAGCGGGTCGGCTAGTTTTGTTCGTTCCGAGTGAAGGGCAATTGTGATGGCAGCTTTGGCTTTGAGCAATAAACAAACTGCACACACTTGTTCGAAAGGATTACTTTTGACTGGAGAGCAATGATTCACTCAGCATGAGATGTTTGTATTCCTGTCGGTTCCTGCTCAACAGCCCGCAAATAGCTTAAGCTTGTCATGGAAAGCCAATTTGAGATGGATCCCATGTCCAGGAGGAAGCAGAACGGGAGGAGCTTTTCAAGCTGGTGGATGTGAACCATAATGGCATGCTCAGCCTGGCAGAGGTCGACAAGGCAAGGATTCATCTTTCCAGGGGTTTAAGTGGGTGAGAAGGGCTCAACGGTGAGTGGGTTCTATCCCGGGATTTTTGCTTTCAGGTTTTGGACGTTACATTTGGCAGATTCCTGGATCTCTGTTTCATTCCACAAAATCCTCAGAATCCCATTGGCTCAGAGAAGAGTCTAAGTCAGGTTCTTCCTATCAGGATCCTGTCACCCTGCGAGACTCTCTTTGGCCCACTGGTCCGCGAACGGCACGAAGGGGCACTATGGAAATTCGAAGCAGCACTTCAGCATCTAAAATGAGACTCACTTCAAAAACAACCCACAACAAATGGGTGTCCGCTTGCTTTCCCATGTTCAAGGGTCTTCATATTTCCGCTTTGGGTTTAAACCATCACCTTCCTTGGTTGCCAGGTTAGAGCGAGGTTCCTTCTGACAGGGTGATACAGTAGGGAAACATTTGCACAGCTCCGCCCTTTTTGCTTGTTGGCAAGCGTAGAGCCTTTCAGGAACTATAACTGGACCCTCAGTTCACAGTCCCAAGTGAACATTTGAGGGGTTTTGAAGATTAATATTTGGTTCCGGCGGTTTCCCTAGCCACCGTATAGCTCGGGCAATTTTGAGGATGTCCCACTAAAACTGACCCATTATATAACTCTAATGATGGCGTTGCACCAGGTTCCGTAAATGGATACAGTTGAGCAGCGCACACAACCCCCAAATGACCTGGTTTAATGAGGGTTATACTAATGGTTGCATAAAACTAACAGTCTTCGGGTTTCGGGCGCTGCTCATTTGGGCCACTTCGAGAATTACCTTCACCAGCTCATTTGGAGGATCCATGTCCTTAAGTAAATCAGGTCTTGCCGGTTTTACCGTTTTTGAGCTCACCGATCCGAGGGTAAAATGATCACTACTTATTTCAGGTTTTGGACATCTTCTAGAATTTGCATCAAAACAACGGGGAAACTTCATCAGGATGTTCTCAAAATCAGGCAAACCTTAATTCTGGTTTCAATATTTGGTGGTTTGCGGGATTTCAATCCCTGGCTTTTGAAGAGGGTAAATGGGAAACCCTTCAAACCACCAATCCAAACCAATTGGAGGGAAGCTGAGGGTGCTTCAAGGCTTTCCTTTAAAGACCCCCGTTTTTCCCGCAGGCCTTGCCGGATGTGATGGGGTGCACCGCCCTCTTCAACGCTTGGCGCCCCAGAAACGCCGGTCTTTGATGGTACCCGTTGTTTGTCGGAACACCCAGGTTTTAATCAACGGGTTGCAGCTTGCGCCAAAGGACAATCAGGTACAACCCCATTTGTCAGAACCCAGGGGCACCCAAGGCTGGAATTGAGCAAAAGCGAAACCAAAGCAAAGCCACTTTTTTGTCGGGGCCCTATTTTGAGACAAACCCAAGGAGGGGCATGTTTTCAGGATGTTGTTTCCCGCGGATTTGTGTTTGTGTACTTTTGTGGGCTGGCCTGCTGGCTACGGAAACCAAAGCCCGCCCGAAACCAGCACTGAAACCAATCCAACCTTAAACCAAACCTAAATCCACCTAAACTCACCCTAAAGAAATCCTAAAAGAACACTAAAGAAAACCTTGAACCGAACCAACCATAAAACCACCGTGAACCCACACTAAAACAGCACTAAACCAGCTCTAAAACAACCCTAAACCCACAATCCCCACCAAAACAAACGTAAACCCAGCGTCAAAATCAAATACGCACACACTAGCCAATCCTAAACCCAAACCTGCCCTAAAGAATCCTTACAGAAACCTTAGCCCAAAAAACCAACCCTAAACAAGCCTTGAACAAACCCTAAACAAGCCCTACGCGCAACTCTGTGCTGGGTTGCTACCTCTTGGTGGCTCCACACCATAGCAACTATCTAAAATATGCTGTACTGTACCAGGTATATGCTCCAGCGAAGCTGGATGGCGGAAGTTTCTAGACGAGCAATTCGCTTATAGGAAAAGGACCTGGTTCATGAAATCCAGAAACGCCGTGTGCAGAGCAACTGCAACTGGCACAGGGCAACCTGCACAGAGCAACTTGCAAAAAACACCTTGCACAGAGCAACTTGCAACTTTCGAGCCAGAGCTCCGGGAAATTCACACGGCGCCACGCTTCGACGCGCAGCCGTGCCAGTGGGGCCCTTTCCAGACCCGCGGCGATCCAGCGTGCTAAAAAGAAGGAGCCTTCGCGATCTCGTAAGCCTGCAAAACGCTGCGCCTGCCACACAATTTGCCCTTTTCTTTTTCTCCTTCTGTGTACTTCTTGCTCACTTTCTCAGTTTCTTTGCGTGACTCTTTTGACTCTTTCAACCTTTCGTATTACGGAAGTTTCCTTAACTAAGCTTCCTTTGATCACAGTTGGCAAGGTTGCGCTATGGGGGGGGGGGCATGACGACAATCCTTGACTCTAACGGTTGCAAGGTCTCATGTTCAGGGAAGCATGTGCTGTATCCCAGAGCAGGTTTATATGTTGCCCCCGTGGCAAACCAAGCCTCTTTCCAGAAAGCCATCTCTCGCCTACACAAGCCCAACCATTAACCAAAAACAATTCAATCCACCCCAAACCAGCCCCCCTGACCAATGTGGGGTAGTCTCGGCTACGCAGCAAAAGGTGTTGCGTGCAGCCAAAGGTGAAGCGGAGGATGCGTTTATGTTTGTGAAAAGCACTGCCTGACAAACATTGACAAGCTGAATGCTCTTCTCCCCCCAGGACCGAAAAGTTTTGGGGGGTCTGGCTGGGCAGTGGAGCGGCTCTGAGCGTGCGGGCTGGGCTTCCGGTGGTGTCCGGAGATTGCTGTCGGGGGTCGTTGCCCAGCATCCTTTCATTTTGTTTCAATAGGAGCCCACAAGGACCACCATTATTGTTGGGCCCCCTTTGACACGTGTCCATAAAATGCAGTGTTTTTTGTGTGTTTTCCCCTTTGGGGGCGCCTCAAAAACTTTCAAAAACGGTTGGTGGAGATAAATCTCCCACCTCAAGACTAAATGATGTCCACCAAAGGGTCCCTAGTTGAAATTCATACCCAGATGTGTATTCCTTGTTTGTCACCTTCCACGCTGAGAGAATGTGTGCCTCTTGAGGCAAAGCCGGCCATCATCCGCGCCTTCCTGGCTGCGACAGGGCGTGACTCGATGGCAGCTAAACTTGGCAATGGGACTCTTTTCTTGCTATTCGCAGGGCATGCGAAAAGGAACCGTGGCCAATTATGCCTGTGTCGCGTACGTTTGTCTCGCAACAAAGCAGGGAGCAGGTGCCTGCTGCATTTTGGAAATCCCAGTGTTCGCCGTGTTTTAGGTAGCCGCGTGGCTGTTCACGGACCCTTTCAAGACCACTGTCCTCTTCGGAAGAGAGCCCAAAACCGTCGAAATTTGGCTGGTCAAGAGGACCGTCGCATTCCTGGGCAGCTCCCAGCCATCCCGTTAGTGCTTTGTGGGGGTTTCTATTTAACCCGCTATACGTGAAGCGTTTAGCAGCAGATCTGAGGACAGCCCAGATTTGGAGGATAAATTCCTCCAGGGAACAGCCTTTGAGGCCCGCCGGCCCGCCACGACGGCGAAGCGCAAGGGGCCTCAGACACCACAGCAGGCAGTGGCAGGATGAAAGTTGGCCACAGGGCGTGTTGATTTCCAGGGCACTTGAAGTCACTTGGATTTGTTTGTTTTGATGGGACCCCCCCGATTTGCTTTTTGAGAAGCATCTTCTTTCATGATTGCCACTTCTCTTTCGCTCCTGTGTTGCCTAAAACTGTTTTTGTTTGAGCCATCTACCTTTTGTTTGTCTCTCCCTGTGCGACCCGCACGTCAAGGGCTTGAGCCCGGGGCACGATTCGTGTCCCATTCGAGCTGTTTAAATCTTGTCTAAGCATGTACCTTTGGGGAAAGGATCTACGGATCGAGGGTCGAAGCCTGTATTGATCCTCTCTCACCAGGCGTATCCTAAAACCCAAGCGTGCTGCATGCGAGCTCGGCAACCCGTATTCTTATCAGAGGTTTTGGTCTACTGGTGCACCCAGGAACGTCTTCGCCCGGCCATGCACCACATCCCCCTGAAACAGAACTTACCTCCATGATATCCTGAAAAAAGGCCATGGTGTGAACAGTTCATTTGGGCGGGGATGCCCTCCGTAGTTGTTCGGGTTTGTACCCTGGGGATTTCAACCGCAGGTACCGCAAGCACTCCAAGGACTATGTCAAGCCGGGCGAGCAGTTCCGAAAGCTGCGCCCTGGCGATCAAGTGGAGAGATCCGTGACCCATGATGCCCCCACCCGAATTTCTGTCTTCCTGAGTTCATGGACATTAAACTTTTTGGGTTTGGACCATGTTTGTGGAACCCAAACGTTTGGTTGTTTTTTTTGGACCATCCGCTCAGGAAGCGAGGAATAGTTGGCACCAACCCCGATTCGGGTTCGACTCCTGCAAAAAGACAAGGAACACAAGCCTCCAGAGGTGGCGAGTAGTGTTCCATTCTTGTGTTGCGGGGAGGGTCCCAGGATCAAATCACAAACACAAGGGTAAAGCCGCTCTGCCGGCTGCAAAGCTGTTTATGATGTGAGACCACGGCGGAACCCGTTAAAAGGGAGATTTGCATGAGGATCAGCAGAGCTTGTTTCGAGCTCATCCCCTGAGCTTCTAACTGAAAGGGTTGGCCCTCGCCGACTGGTTGGTTTCATGATGTTTCGTGAAACTGTCCCCAAAAGGGTCGTGCCCAACACGCCCAGAACGCCATTTTAGAAGGCATTCTACCGGGTTAACAGGGATAGATAGCAAGGATAGCCTGCATGCCCATCTTGCCAAGAATCAACTCGGGGTTTTGGGCGCTCAGCTGGTACGGTTGACATGAAACCAACGCGCGCAACATACCCGGACAGGATTGCCAGGGGTTGACTTGAACTATGGGTTGGGGGCTCCTAAATTTGGGGACCCCTTTGGATCATTGTTGAACAGGAATCGCAGGGGTCTACCTAGTGATAGCGCGAGCTCACCTAATGAAACAAGCGAAAACCATGATGCAGGCCCTTGACAGGGGGGGAATCCCTGTTTCAGGTGTTGGGAGTAAGATTTGCAGTCCAATATTTTCACAACGGGTTAGCTTACCGCGGTTTTTTTGTTTTAAGTTGCCCCGTGAGCAGCGACCTAAGGATTCAATACCTGCACGAGTTCTTCGAGATGTGCGCCGGGCGTGGTATGGTTGATTCCTTACAGATCGCATACACACAGGCGGGGTACAAGCAAGGTCAACACTGAGTATTTGACGGAATCAACCGTAGTGGCATTGAGCCTCACTTGACAAGTTTTGAGCCACAGTAAGTGGACAGGACCAGTGTGGTAGGGACTTATGGTTCGACTAGGTCAATTCCGATTGATGTGTGATCGCAACCTACGGTATCAGATATATCGGCTGCGCTTCGTTAGAGAACCCTGCAGGTTTTACCATGTGGCATGATGATTTTGCCGCAAGCAGCAGAAACAATTCAACAATGGGATACCCCCCCTGCAGTTTATCATAAAACCCCAAACCCCTCACTTGCAGGGGGAATCTCCTTTTGGGCCGAGCCCGTTTTACAGCTCCAGGTTAATGTGGAGGAGTGACAGGTACTTGATCTTCCAAGACATGGCTGATGGTGACGCAGACCGTCGAATCGATTGCAAGGCCGGTTGCATCCGTTACATGTTTCAGAAGCATCGCTGCAAGGCAGTGGCCGCTTAACACAAGGGTTTGTCTCAAAGGCCGGCGTCCTTTCTAGTTGCCTTTTAGGCCCCAAGTAGGCTATTTGAAGCAAAGGCAAACCCACAAGGACAATGGGTGTGTTGTTTTTGGGAAGCCCTTTCTCGGTTGATTGTTTTAGGATGTTTTTGGGGGGAATCTGTTCTGAAACAACTTTTTTGAGTTGTCAAGTTTTAGACACAACCATATTCCCATCCAATGTTCAACTCCGGTGTCTCTTTCGACATGTCTTTGGGCATGTGTCAAAACAGGGACCTAAAAAACACGCAGTTGTGTGTTTGTGTTGGTGTCTTTTAAAAGAAACGGGTGGTTCCCCTGTTTGGGTATCCCTAACCCCAGCTTCGGGGTCCGCTCAAACCGGCCATTTCGGCCGCAAAGCCGCCAGGAGTTCGCCGAGTTCATCACCTCTGGCAAAGCCGAGAAGGTAGGCATCAAGGCATCGGAGGGCTGGGAAGGGAGCCGTTCCGATAGCGAGGGAGCGGTTCGGGCATGGTGGTGTTTGTAAGGAAGTCATCTATCATAGGTTGGTTTGACTGGTTTCCCCGAAGTCAACAGTACAGATTGTGGCATGTACCTGTTTGAAGCATCCGCCTTGCTTGTGCCCGTGCGTGTGTTCAACCCGCAAAGTGTTTGTCAGGGTCTCCTACCTTTCATACTAAACGCGTGAATATGATGATTCTATTCCCGGTTCGATTCCCGAATGGTGCATAATTTGGTTCCTTCACGGCTTCCACGGTTTGGTTCGCTGGCTGGTTCCGCAGTTCGATTCAAATGGTTCCCAGAGCGGTTCGAAAAAAAAGTGCGGATGCCTTTACAGTATCCCATTTGCTTAGTGCCACCATTTGTCCGTTATTAGGAACACTTTCCCTTCAAAATCAGCCAACAGAAAATCAAAGCCATGGCTGCTGATCTTCTGTGTTCAATGCAGGTGACTCCGCAGATGCGCCTTGGAGGCACTTGGTCGCTCAAGTCTTCTGCGGCCAGAGAGAGCCACATGTCGCATGAGACATCCGTTGAAATTTGCACCCCCAACATTCATTCAAACAAAACAAACCGCATTCCTGCCAGAAAGGGGTTTTAATGCAACATCGGGTTTTGGCCACCTTTCTGTGATAAGGGAATTTTCTTTGAATTGACTGTCATGAGGATGGCCTACGTTGGTACCACAAAAACCACGTGGACCACGCACGTGTCGGGCGGATAGGTCT